TTGGCTAGGCTTCTATGTGGCGAGAAAAAGTTGGTTTTGCGCTTCTATATAACTTTGTGTTCATTTGGAAATGTCGGGTCAAGGTGTACGAGAGGCAAAGTGAACGCTGGGGCGTTTTATTTTCAAATGTTTTTTTTTTTATTTTGCAGTAGATTGGTGCCGCCCATATTAGAGCAGTTAAAATTGCGATGCCTCTGCAAGAGATCCGCATGTGCTCGAAACTATACTTCGAATTTCGCGGGCTGTATAGTGGGGGGGGGGAGGGGAGGCACTGGCGAAAAAAAAAAACGAAATATGGCAGCCCGATCCCTTTTACTCTCAGGTAGTCTATCTCGACAAATATTTGGTTTTCTGAAAGACGCCGTTCGGCCGCATGTGCAACCCTTTGATTTGGATGCAGTAGAGATAACTTTAATGAACACGATACTGACATTGCCATTGTGCTACAAATCATAATTAAAATGCAGATGACGAAAAAAGGAGACGATGATAACTCAAGCACTTTCACTGTGAAGGATGTAGGGAGTAAATGCAGGTCGGCTAATCGTAGTCTTTCACAATATCCCGGCAAAATTACTTATCACATTAATAAGTGGCACGATATCAGCGCACTTAATTATCTAGAGCGTAAGTGGAATTCGGTTGACGACCTTATAAATATCAGGTACGCGATAAAATAGTAAAACGATCTATACCGATACGAGGGCAATATGATTCAACGACAATAACTAGCCCAGTCTTCAGCCACATACGCGTCTCCAGTAAGGAGGAATGCTAGAATGCCTGTCAGCAAACAAAATAACATCTCAATGCAATGATCTATATAAGAAAAATTCAGCAGTTGCCATGCCTTTATTCGCCAATTAGGATCAAAATAAAACCAGTAACAGAAAAAGAATACTTGCCTTCAGTGCAGTCAGAAGACTTGTCAGTGCTTTTGCTCACACGCGAGAAAAAAAAGATCATTCGAATCATTCACACGCTGAAATTCCGCTGCGCTCGAGGAACCCTCATTAAAGGCGCTCCCTCGCGGTAACCAAGCGCGTGAGGCAATACTCGCTGGTTTTGCTGGGGAGCGCCGCGATTGGGACGGCTGGAAGAGAACCCCGCCGCGCGCTCGCAATCTCGGAGGCCATGGTAGAACAAGGCCTCTGAGGTGTTGCTACTGTGGTTCCAGCTACTTTCGTTTTGCTGCTACTGGTGTCGGCGGCCGCGAAGTAAAGGCAACGTTGGGCACGCCAAGTCTGAATGACCGCTTTCAGGCGTGGTTGATTTGAAGTTCGCTAACACGATACGGACCATTAAAACGTGACTTTATTTCAAAATAGGCGCTTCATTGGTACAAAACTAGCACTGCGAGGTTTCCGGACCGCTATTTCAACAATTGGCGTCAACTTAATATTTGGCTTTTTTTTTAGTGTCCCTTTAAGGACACTATGCACCTCCGGACCGCTATTTCAACAATTGGCGTCAACTTATTATTTGGCTTTTTTTTTTGTGTCCCTTTAAGGACACTATGCACCTATCTTACATGTACCACCGACAATGCCATCTCACAACTTCCAGACTGGTCACACTTTATGAAGCGCTATGACAACACGTAACACTTGAGCCACTGAACTCTATTCGTTCCATACAAGTTGACAGACCCTCGACTTTCAACCGACAGAGCTTCAACTACGGCATGTGAGGAAGGAATATCCCCTGAGATTAATAATAACAATATTAGTTGTGACAATATTACCATCAGAAATATAAAACCCGAACATTTGAATTGACATTAAACAATACAAAAACTACAGTAAATACAAATACCACAGTAAACAAAAAAAAAATCGTGTCGATTGATATGTGGGGTTTAACGTCCCGAAACCACCATATGATTATGAGAGACGCCGTAGTGGAGGGCTCCGGAAATTTTGACTCCCCTGGGGTTCTTTAACGTGCACCCAAATCAGAGCACACGGGCCTACATTTCCGCCTCCATCGGAAATGCAGCCGCCACAGCCGGGATTCGATCCCACGACATGCGGGTCAGCAGCCGAGTGCCTTAGCCACTAGACCACCGCGGCGGGGCCGGAAGATCGTATCGTCACTTACGTAACAAAAATGCATTACTGTACGAAGAAACAGTTGAGCACTGCGAATTTTTGCACTGCACCTTCTTGAACATCCACACAAGCGTAGCGTGAGTATGTCGTTTGAATAATGACTCCTGAGAGTGCCGTTTATAGTAGTAGTAGTAGTAGTAGTAGTAGTAGTAGTAGTAGTAGTAGTAGTAGTAGTAGTAGTAGTAGTAGTAGTAGTATGAAGGCTCAACCGTTAACACGACAAAAAGATTCTTCTTTTAGGTTTCAAAGTGCTCAGCCATGTTATGTAGTCATGAGTCCTAATGGCTTCGCACAAGTGGCCGCTTTTGTTTGGCACAAAAGAAAATCAACGCGCAACAATTAGTACGGATAAAATATTTCTTGTCTTTTTTTATCTTTAGCTTTCTTAAACGTAACCGTCATATCGACGCGACTCCGCGTTGACGTCAGCAGAGCCCATTGCGACGGTATACCTTCATGGAAGACGCACGTGAGACTCGTGCCAAATAAAACTCACCATTTTGAAACGATTCATTTTCAAGAATCCTAAAGTATATACCCCCGCACGAAGGCACGAGGTAACAAGAGAACAGACTAAAGAGAACGGTATTCTGCTGCGGATTCAATATAATGCCGGGTTATTATACAAGTCACGACGGCGACTGCAGTCTGCGCGGAACACTTCTGGATTGCGAATGAAAAAATATTAGCCACCTTGCGTTTATTACCGTTCATCTGAATGACATTGCTTGGACTTTTCCGCACTTCGCTATCATCGGCTACGAGTAAAAAAATCACCGCATATCCGCGCAGTGAATGATGATGAGTGGGGCCATAGTCCCTCAAGGGACTATGGCGGGGCAAAGCGTCCACTCAGTCCGTCCGCTGCTTCCATCCGTTCGTTCTTGCTTTTGTCCATCCGTTCGTCCGGGCGTCTGCGCTTCTATCCATCCGTCCGTGCGTCCGTCTGTCTGTCCGTCGTTTGTCTGTCCATGCGTCTTCTGTCCGTCCGTTCGTCTGTCTGTACGCCTGTCCATTCGTCCATCCGTCCGTCTAGTGAACACTCCAAGTACCGCCATCTCGCATTCTTTCACCATATATTCATCATATACAAGTACCACCATCTTGCGGACATTCCAAGGACAAAACGAGAGGTGGCTACCTATATATACTACTGCCACTACTACTACTACTACTACTACTACTACTACTACTACTACTACTACTACTACTACTACTACTACATACAACGGGGACGCACGACCCACGGCTTAAGGAGCTTCGCCCCTAAAACACGCCTTCTCAAGCCTAAAAGCGCGATCTTCATTTCCTCGGTCAGCCACTTCCAGCTATATAGCTTCCACGATTGTATAGTAGTTACCGCTGGCTAGACTGCCGACCCGAAGGTTGCGGGTTCGATCGCCGTAGCGGTGGTCGCACTTCCACAGCGGGGAGAGGCCCGCGTATACTTGGATTTAGTTGCCCGTCAAAGGGCCAGTCAACGGGCTCCGAAACGCGCTGGAAAAGCACGCGCATTTTTTCCTCCGCGTGACCGACCTCCTTCCACGCGCAGTGACGTCAACTCGACAATCGGCGACGTGACGCAGCACGCAGCTCGTCGATTGGTCTAAACCAGGTCTCAACAAACAGTAATGAAGTCAACGTCACCGCTCGCCGAGTTGACGTTACTGCGCGTGGAAGGAGGTCGGTCAAGCGTTCGGAAGATGCGCGAGCGTTTACTGCGCGTTTGGGAGCCCTTGAAAGAACGCCAGGGAGTCAAAATTTGCGGAGCTCTTCACTGCGGCGTCTCTCCTAATCATATTGTGGTTTCGGGACGCAAAACCCGAACCATTACGTTAACAAAGATATCGTGTTTTACTGCCACGATATGTTTGTTAGCAAGCACCAAGAGAGAGAGAATAAAATCTGGGAAAGGCAGGGAGGTTAACCAGAAATCGGAGCATCCGTTTTGCTACCCTGCACGAAGGGAAGGGAGAGTGGGGAAGAAAGACAAGAAAGAAAGCGAAGAGCGAAATAGACGAGCGAAAGAGAAACAAGTGAGCTGGGCTGCTATAGCCTATTCAATTCGGTCATTCCAGCGACGCAGGTGGCGCCATGTAGCCGCACTCCGGAGCTGTCACACGGTGATAAAACTGTTAAAACTGTGACGTAGTTCGGTCTTGCAGTAGTAATAAACCAATGAACGCGTCTTCACGCCCTGCGACGCTGACGTAAACGCTCACGACATCACCGTCTCATCCGCCATCTCGACATTCCGCTGCGCCGCCTATATAGTCACTGGAATGATCGAATACGCAAAAAGTTCAATAAGGCGCCTTCGCTGATTTTCTGTGCGAAGACGGATCATGTCGCTTTTCAAGCACTGACTGCTCTGACGAGGGTCTGTCATCAAGGCGAGCTAACGCAGTAGCTATAGCTGCCGTCATTACACGCCGTAACGAGGGCAGTGACAGAGAACGTGCCCTATCGTTTCATCGCCGCCGCAGTGATCGCAAGCAGCACTGAGCAAGCACCAACAGCAACCCAAGCTTCTGAAATTATTTATCACGAAATGAATTAAAACAAGAGTTGCAAAAGCGTGCCTTATAAATTTGTCAATTTGTTGCAGTGTTTGACTAGCGCACATTAAGCGAACTTTTCTCCCTTTTGATTCTTTTTTTTTATTTGTTCTAAAGCCTAAACAGATTACACATCAGCCAAACCCAAGCTTCTGAAATTATTTATCACGAAATGAATTAAAACAAGAGTTGCAAAAGCGTGCCTTATAAATTTGTCAATTTGTTGCAGTGTTTGACAAGCGCACATTTAGCGAACTTTTCTCCCTTTTCATTCTTTTTTTTTTAATTTGTTCTAAGGCTTAAACAGATTACACATCAGCCAGCTACTCACCGGCTGGGCAGTGGCGGCCGTCCCGTTGTTTCGCACCGCGCCGGGGCACCGGGGGTCGTCGGGGCACGGCTCGGTGTCGTTCGGCTTGGTCGCCGGGTCGCAGGCCTCCTGGCGCAGCGCCAGCTGGTCGGCCTTGCCGCGCGAGCGCACGCACAGCACGGTGTGGCGCCGCACTCCGCCGCAGGTGGCCGAGCAGGGCTGCCACGGCCCGGTCCACCAGCGCGCCGGGCACGGCTGCCGCGAACAGGGCCGCCGGCGCGTGGCCGGCCTCGTCGCCGGCTCGCAGTGGGTGTCCTCGACGAGGCCGGCCTCCTTCTCGAAGCAGCGCGGCTGGGACTCCTGCGAGCCGCCGCCGCACGTCACCGTGCACGGGCTCCAGTCCGACCAGCGCCAGTGGAACTCGGGCCGACGGCTCGCGTTCAACTCGGGCACCGTGTACTCGTACTTGAGACCCGGGTTCACCGACTGGAAAAGCAACTGCGCCGCCGCCGAAAACGAGACCGGGGTGTGGCGAAGACGTCCTTTTTATCTCCAGGTTCACTATACTAACGAATTATAACAAGTTGCGCATTCCGATTGTAAATTTATATTCATAAAATTGCGACTCCAGCAAACTACCGTGCCCAAACGCCGCATTAGTGCTTTGCTTTCGAGTAGTGCACTAGACTTACTCGTTGATTGTTCCAACTTTATGCTGAATAATACGTTCATAAATAATTATTCTACATTTTGTGTACCAAAAAAAGATGTTTCTTCCTGCAAATTTGTCAATGTAGAACTCGTGTACGCATGTAATTTCACTGCTTTGTGTTTTTGAGTTGCACGTTTTTCAATCAATCAGTCTTATGTTTTCGCTTTATCTTTAACGCTGCATTCATCGACAAAAAATTTGCATTTAGACTGAGGATTTATTTCTTCGTATTTCCTGTCCTGTTTATTCCATTTGAACTGTTCGTTCATGCATGACCCAATTAGAGCCTGGATTGGATTGGATTGGATAAACTTTTATTTGGTCCTCCAAAACACAGATCACTGTGTTGCGGGCAATTAGAGCCTGATATAATTACAAATAAATACAAGATACCCCACCCCAACCCACCTTTTTTTTTTTTTCGAGCTAAACACTTCTCAATAGAACCTCTGAAGAACGCGGCATCGAGTCCCTTCACGGCATTTCGATGAAGGCTAAAATGCTGGAGAATCGATTACTTAGATTTAAGTACACATGTTAAAGAACCCCAGGTGGTCGGAATTTCCGGAGTCCTCAACTACGGCATTCCTCATAACCATATTGTGATTTCGGGACGTTGAACGCCAGCAATTATTATTATCATTATCAATACAATCTGCGCTACAGGGAGTGACAAAGCTACATTTGGTTATCTTATGCCCGGATCACTAAGTACACGAGTGCACACAGCGGCGGGACGTTGATTACCATGTGCGAGGTCGGGAATTCCCGCTTTCAGCCAGCGCAAGATGTGACGGCAGCGGCACGTCTGCAGAATACATAATAAGTTCACGCGTGTACGGGTATTTGTCTATGCACACCAAGCGGTCAAAACAATTCCGGAGCCCTCCATTAAACGGCGTTCTTGATAACTCAATGCGCGCGCTAAACTGAACACCACAATACAAAATTTTATCATGATCACAGAAAACATTAGGCGAATGCGAAAAAAAATAATAAAAGCGCTGCCTTCGCAGTTCATACAGAGGCGTTTGTTTTTATCGCTCAGAAAAGCTGTCGTCAGCTACATATAATCTGATTGTGGACAGCCGCAAGTGAATCGCGAAGATAAATTACAAAGAAGTTTTTCCACTGCTTCGTTGTCTGAATTACTGGTCGGCACATATGAATTTTGCAAGGGCTGACTTCTGGCCTTGTTGGTACGACATATCTTAAGGGATGCAATGGAAAGCAATGGTAATGAAGCAATGAAAGCAATGGAAAGAAAAATGGTAGGTGTAACCTTAAGAGACAAGAAGAGAGCAGAGTGGATTAGGGAACAAACGGGGTTAAGGATATCATAGCTGAAATCAAGAAGAAGAAATGGACATGGGCCGGGCATGTAGCGCGTAGACAGGATAACCGGTGGTCGTTAAGGGTAACTAACTGGATTCCCAGAGAAGGCAAGCGGGTTAGGGGGAGACCGAAGCTTAGGTGGGCAGATGAGATTAAGAAGTTTGCAGGTATAAATTGGCAGCAGCAAGCACAGGACCGGGTTAACTGGCGGAACATGGGAGAGGCCTTCGTCCTGCAGTGGATGTAGTCAGGCTGATGATGATGATGATGATGATGATGATGATGATGATGATGATGATGATGATGATGATGATGGAGCAAGACGATGGGGGTACACACAGGTGCAGCCCCATAACCAGACAACCAACAAGGGGCATTGGAAGAAATTTTTCGCAAGGGGTGGAGGGGGAGAGAGGGCACCCTTTTCAAATGGTCATCGTTCACTCTGTATGCCATGGCGAATGTTTTCGGGATTGACGGGAGAAGGGAGGGTGGTACGGGCCCGGTGCTCCGTTCCCATGCGCCCCTGCAGCCGACCGCCAGACAATTTGGAGGCGCAGCCGTCGGTTAGGAGGTACAGGCTTGGTTGTAGCCAGAATAACCGACTGAAGGGAGCCCTGAACTGTTTATTTGCTTGTCGCTTCCTTAATCTTCTCCTTTTCCTCTTTTCTAGTCTTTTTCCTTTCTTTATTCATTTATTCCTTCCTCTCTCTTTATATGCTTCTTTCTCAACCTTGGCTCTTTCTATCTTTTATCTTATTTTCTCCTTTCTCTCTCTATTTCGCATTTGCTTCCTGTATTTTCTTTTATCTTTATAAGTGGTTCGCGTTACGCCAAGCACACTATTTTTTTTTTTTTGCTGATCATGGTAAGTTATTATGATGAAGGCGCTCGAAGAACAAGAGGAGGAAGTCTTCACCTTGGCGTGAGCGCAAGCTCAATATGCTGCCCATGGAGCGTATAACACCAAGCAACGAAGAAATAATACTACAGCACATGACAGCACACGACAGCCCGGCTCCCATAAAGTGCTCCGCACTTCAAACTTCACTAATCGCCACTTGTACTCATCAAACGATCAAATTGGGTCCGGTACATGATGCCCAACCCCGTGGATCTCTCTTTGTCTCCTTTCGCGCCATTGTTCATGACTAGCGTCAAAACGCGGGAAAAACAACTATGGACGACTGAACATGACGCTTTCGAAAGTTTTGCACAACAAAAGCAAAACGCTACTCAACATGCGAAGTTTCGGCAAATATATGCAAGGAAAAATTTTTCGCTAATAAAGCAATCAATTCACACGGAAAATTCACGAGTTTGCATTAACCGACAGCTAGCAATGCAACGTTCGCTCCATCTATCGTATCTTTCTGCTGCTTCTTGAATAATTCATCTCGCACTGAACTATAGCTATAGGACACACAATACGTAAACAGTAGAAGATTACTATGCAGACTGGCTGAAATTAATCCGGAATGTTTCACTACTGCACCCCTCGTAAGTCTCAACCTTAAGATTCAGCCAAGCAATGAAACTTTTACATGTTGCTTAAGCAATTTCAATCACCGCGGCTATCACCTCTCAAAAGAGATTTGCACGGCTAAAGCTGGCTCATTCAACACGCACTCCAATGTTGCAGGGAAGCTAGCTTTGACGAACTCGAAACACACACGCACACTTAATGCGACGCAACTATTTGTGAGATTTGCTTCAGCACTCGTAAGCTACTAAATTAACTGTGAGCCCCCAGAAACTGCAGTTTTTCTGGCAAGTAAAAAAAAGAAAAAGTGGTAGATTGGGATAGTTGGTACGTAATGACAACAGCTACTTTAATTCACTGCCTGGAACATGAGGCGCGAACGCGCGGCCTTTCACTCTCCTGTTGTTTCCTCCATTTTGGTACAGTGGCCAGCGCCTCTCGTGCCCTTTTCTCGCAAACACACACAGCTTTTGTAGCTACCTCTGTGAAGCTGATAACTTCATGTCACGTGACTAAACGGCACGGTGGCGAGCGCTCTCCCACGGCTCTTAGTCGCAACTCGCGCCAGGAGGTGTGGCTTTCGCAATCGTGTTTCACGGGAGGCTCTCTATAAAAAAACGGAGCGACGTTCCAGGAATGTTGTTAGAGGGGGGCATTGGTCATTACTACTGACGAGACAACGCGACACAAATACGAGCGCAACGCCTTCGTATCTTACTTAGTTCATTGCCTTTAGCTGAGCTCTTTGGTTTTCAACAGTAGTTCCTCATAGACCTTGCCCAACGGAAGGTGTAATGTGATCACTCACGTAGAGCACCAACTCCTGCTTGGTGGGCCCCGGTGCGTGGAGCGTGTCCCTCTCGCCCTGCCGCTGGTAGAAAAGCGTGGTGCCGGCGGCCGCGTACTCGCCGCTCCACTGGACGAGCCAGTCACCATTGAGGAAGAACTCGCCGTCGGCCGCGCCCTGGACGGCCAGGTAGTTGCCCGACGCGCCCAGCTCCTCGACGCGGATGTTGCGGGCGCCCTTGGGCACACGACCTATCTCCGTGTAGCCTGCGACACAGCCGATGAAGGCCTCCGTTTCGACATAAACGTGCCTGACGATAAAGTCGTTGCATTGTATGGTAAACCAGAGTCACAAAAGCTCGTGAGGTAGAGGAAAGCTCGCGAGAGCTAAAACTGGCATCCGTCCAACCGCAGCGTAAAGTTGCATGGAAAAAATCTATCCAGGCTTCTTTTGTGAAGCTTTCGTGATTGTTTCTCCATCTAGTGGACTTCTGTAGAACTGGGTTCATGGTCATTTAATAAAGGGCCTGTATTCACCGTTAGAATAATTCGTAAGAAAAAAACACGTTCAGAGATTCCCCGAGCAAGGCATATTATTAGCGAAGTCGGCCAACCAACGGGAACGGTCACTTACGAGCGAAAAGCCCGTTGTTAATTCCGCTCCTGGAATGTCCGTATAAATGTTCCGCCCATCTGTTTAGTGTTGCCAACCAATGCGGCATTGCTTTGCGACGTGCTAACCAACAATTTAGCTCAGGTGGTAAATTGAACACATCACCAAGTTCTTGGAGCCGAGTTCGACTGCCGAAGATGGACTTCACTGTAACTGCGCTGCTTTCTAATATAAGTAAATAAATAAATAAATAAATAAATAAATAAATAAATAAATAAATAAAGGGTTAGCTTTTCATTGTGTCTCCACGCAACTGTCTCTCAAAGAACAACGTTCTCTGTCATTGCAACGTAAGTTGCATGCGTTGCACAAAAAGAATGAGCGACAATCATCAGGCCATAAAAATCCATACAGTGCACCGGATAAAAATAAAACGAGTATATAGCCTGAAACGGATACGAACAAGCTATGCTCAAGGGTTCCCCGAACCAATTACTTCCAACGAATCGCTCATCATGAAATACGAGTAAGGCGCACGGAGACGGACACATAAGAAGAGAACCGTACTACACGAACGCATTTACTTTGCGCGGTTCTCTTACTTTGTGTCCCTGTGCACGTATCCTGCATTTCCGTCACGATGCATTCTCACTAGCTAGCTCACGTTTCTGCCATTCTATTGTCCATTCATCATGCAACTTACATCACACAGAGAGCATAGGTTTCCTAAAATTAACAGAGGGGGAGACTCTGGCGCTGCGATCGTTCAGCGACAATGGGAATGACTGGTAGTACACAGATTTGCCCAGTCTTCGTACTTGCCTGTGGTGAATCGCACATGTGGCTTCGTTTATTGCTGTATTTCGGTTTTGTTTCGAAAGAAAGGACGAACCCTTTTGAACTTTGTGACCCGATTTTAAATGGTAAGCCTGAACGAACGAGGTGGTGAAGCGCTACCTGCTGAACATTTGGCGATTTTTGTTTTGTGAGTAAACAGCTTCAAGCCAAACGAGCACGCACGGAGCCAGAAGCACGAAGATTAGGACAAATCCGTGTACCAATCCATCACTCCCATGCTCACTGAAGCGCCACGCGCTTCATCTCTCATAAACACTAGCACCACAGTTCCCTATAGTATGTATTTAGGAAACTATATATGACAGAGGACAACCTAGAACTTTGAAAGCAGGGCTGGTAGATTACCTTTAGTAACAAATGCCACTTTTAAGAGCCCTACTAGCAGCTTTCTTTCTATGACTTTTGATAAATTGACTTTCTATGACTTTTAAGTCATATCGAAGTCAGCACTAATGATATGCATGCCGCAACTATCGCGTATATTCCAGCATTTACCTGTTGATCCAAGACACTACAGCTATCCCTGAATGGGCGTGTGGCCCCAGAAACATTAAGATCTGCAACACATGGCTTCGAATCGTTATATTAGGCAATGAAGTAGTAAAGGGAACAAGGGGGGAAATAAAAGAGCTCGGAAACAGACCGATGCCTTCCTTCTGGCTGAATTCCTTGTGGACGGTAATGCAGCGCGTTCCATCGCCGTGGCAGATGCCGCATCGGTCCTCCCGGGCGCTCGTCTCGATGCCCCAGTCGCAGGACACGCGCTGCGACGTTAAAATAGCCCGTCGAGCATGCCCTGTCTATGTCACAGCAGTGAGAACACAGCCGTACAATGAAAAAAAGAATAACAAACGGAGAGAAAACTGGAAAAGTCAGGGCGTCTACAGCATTGTAGCCCTCGCTGAGAAGGCAGTTTCGGAGAAACACAGAAACTGAGAAGAAAAGTGGAGAGAGAAAAAGGAGTATGCAGTGAAGAGAGAAAAGGAAAGGCAGGTCAACAAGACGGTACTGTTTGCTAACTTCACTGGAGATGAGAAACTAGAGAATAGAAAGAGTGAAAGGGTAGAACAGTGAGCACATCCACTGAATGTCTACAAAGAGCAGTCACTGAGACCGGTGTATACCCGTAAACTGCAGTGGGTTTCCGGCCCGCCTCTACAGTACAGTCGTTAAAATGCTCGGCTACTAACCCGAGAGTCACGGGGCTCACTATCGGTCGTGGCGATCGCATTTAGGTGCAGGCGGAATGTCAAGAGGCCCGTGTTCCGCGCAATGCACGTTCAAGGTCGCGCGGTGCACGTTACTATCTGGTGACCTTCAACGACACGCGGTACACGTTAAAGGTCACTAGATTGTCCAAATTAGCGGGGCATAATCCACATAATCCTATAGCGGCTCTGTAAAGTACTTGAAACCCTATTACAGGTCTTCCTTGCCATCGACAGGATGTGGCAAATGTCCAAGAAACTTACCGATCAGAGAAAGTGATAGATGATGAAAGATCTCTGTGGAAGGAAATCAGACCAGTCGTTCGCAAAGCGTTGAGCAACAAGCTTTAAATCTGTACTGTTTTGCAGAGATAAAAAGCAGGAGAAACCAAATAAATCAAGCAACCAAAGCCCATTTTCTCGTTGCGTATAGCTTGAAGCTAGTCTGGCACGAATTCGTAGGTATATTTTACGACGGTCAGAGCTCGAAAGTGTGCCATGCTCAATAAACAAGTTATTCAATGACTGTTTCTAAATATAGGTGCCAATTTTTAACCAACGGGTCGTAGACCTAAAGAATGGTTTCGCTTACAAGAAAGGGGAGAAAAGAAAACAGCAGGGGAAATTTTGTCTACTGAAAGCGAAAGGAGCTAGAAACAACGAGGTATGTGCAGGGAGATTAACCAAAAACGTGCCTAGATGAAGAATGGGGCAAAAATATTGCGCGAAAGCTTATAAAAAAAATAACAGGTAGCTTGCATACAGACCCTGCATTTGCCGTTGATGCAGACATCCCGCGACCCGGGACTGCATGGCGTGCCGTCGGTCACCGACTCCTTGAGAACACGAGAGAAGAACTTGCCGTCTGGCTTGCAGTGCAGCTGGCACGGAGTTGCTGCAAACACGCAACAAGAACAGGCAAGTTGAGTCAGCAGGCTTTACACACCATACATCGTCACTTCCTCACAGACCGATTGCCAGCTATGGCAACACAAGAGGTGCGGGGAACGATGTGTCAGTCATCCGTATAATGCCCTATCAGAAAAGGAGTACTCTCATCTGATCAGCACGATGCGCTAAACTTTTTGGTTTTTGTCACCCCTCCCGCCACGCCCCGCCACGGTGGTCTAGTGGCTAAGGTACTCGGCTGCTGACCCGCACGTCGCAGATCAAATCCCGGCTGTGGCGGCTGCATTTTCGTTGGAGGCGGAAATGTTGTAGGCCCGTGTCCTCAAATTTGGGTGCACATTAAAGAACCCCAGGTGGTCAAAATTTCCGGAGCCCTCCACTACGGCGTCTCTCATAATCAAATAGTGGTTTTGGGACGTTAAACCCCACATATCAATCAATCAAAACCCCTCCCGCCACGCTTTTTCTTTTCCTTTTTTGTTCAACTTTTTTATAGACGCATGCGCCTACATGATTTTTTTTTCGTCTCACGGAGTTAGTGATTCTGCTTGTAGGCGAGGGAAACAATACCATATACACAATCAGTAAGTTATACATGTGTTGCTCTTCAATGAACTTCCAGTTACGTGTGTCCGCCTTTGTCATCGTTCTCTTCTCTAGTCCCTGTTCTGTGATTCGCCCCGCTTCTGGCATTTAAAATGAGTGAATCACTGAAGGGTCAGTTTCTTCGTTCAAGCGAGTCAAACAGATTACAGCGAAATACACGAAATCAAAGAAAGCCAGAAATACCACCAGTCGCCTTACCTTACGCCGTTGTTGATAGTGTGCTTCTGCCTAGTCGGCGACAACCGATATCTGCATGATAGGCCGAGAAAAGCACAAACGCTACGCGATAAGAGAGATTTGACGAACACACTAGTGTGTCTTGCACCCGTTAGGCTATCTGGGGCCAGTGTCCCACTTTTGTTGTTGACGCTGCCGTATCTTTACGTGAAAGGTTTTTTGAGATCCCTCTGCCAACAGACAGAAGCTGTCGGTTCCGACAGCGAATTCTAGCCACAACTGTTTATCGTTTATCTTAAGCATCCACTTTGGGAAGATCACCCCCTTTGGTGAGAAAAGTTTGTTACGAAATTATGCTTCAGGATGGCTGTTAAGGAATGACGTTTTCATATATAGCTGCTGTGGGCACCCAAGTTGGAACCAAATTCTAACGCTACGTAGACGCCGGCTTACAGCACAAATTCTGGGAGGTATCATATATCATCGGATAGATAAATAGATAACAGTTTACAAAATGAAGCGTTTCATCAGTGCATCTAGAAAGCAAGAACCTTTAAGTTGTTGCTTCACGACATTTCACTAAAAATTGTACGATTACGCATGCACTGGCACATGACACATTAAAAATAAGATAAATTCGACTCAGCGATAGCAGGTAGTCCTTGACGCTATCGTTACCCCTTTTATTATGCTTACATCACTATGTGTACCACTCTCCCACTCCTCCTTCTCCACTTAAACCCTTCTTATTGATTGATTGATTGATTAGTGGGGTTTAACGTCCCAAAACCACCATATGATTATGAGAGACGCCGTAGTGGAGGGCTCCGGAAATTTTGACCACCTGGGGTTCTTTAACGTGCACCCAAATCTGAGCACACGGGCCTCGACATTTCCGCCTCCATCGGAAATGCAGCCGCCGCAGCCGGGATTTGAACCCGCGACCTGCGGGTCAGCAGCCGAGTACCTTAGCCACTAGACCACCGCGGCGGGGCCCTTCTTATTGAAACTGATCATATCTCTCCTCCATACCTCACAGATCGTCCGCTAAAAGTTTGAACCTGGCAGCGAAATAGTTTACCTGTCACAACAATTTTGAATTCGTAACCAGCAAATTTTACTAATTAAGTTACTACAGCGAGGAAATGGTACGGAGTGGCGGAAGCCTTTCAAAGCAACGCTTCGCGTTTCCTTTCTGGAAAAACAGCGGTACACTGGCTATAGGAAGCCAAAGCAACGCATGGTGGCGCTGCGGCTCCGGACAGGCAGCGCCATCTTTGGTAGAAATGTAGAAATCGGGGATGCAGATGGCGCGTTTTCCCTTCGCTCCAATGCGCTGCCGCTCGCTTACATGCTCGTGCAGCGAGCGTGCGCTGCGGTTGAGTCACCTCACAATGCACCGCCTGCAGTGCGGCTTCACAAAGATCTCTGAGCTGGACAAGCACTTTCGAAAAGCGAATCAAACCCAAGGAGTAAAGCTCGTTAGTCAAGTTAATGATGTGGAGCAGACGACGGAAGACGAGGACGCCCGAGTCCCTGCGAAATGCATGTCTAGGGTCTTCCATAATAATACCGTGTACGACGTAATGCCTCGAGGTAAGTCCCATTCTGCCAACATGAAGCCGCGTACTCTATCGATGCGCTGTGTTGACGTTTGTGGAAAGCATATAATTGTTGATTTGATGTGGCATTTAGCAGTAGCAGCCGTGTACTGTCATGGTCAAACGTTTGCGGCGTGCTAAAAAAATAACTAAAAACTAAAGTTAAAGGGTCATGGCACTGAAATGTCCGAGAATTTTTAGTCATGTCCTCCGTGCCGCGCATGACCCGCTGACGTCACCGCGAAGCAGCAAGCCAAGTTTAACCACAGCGAGTCAAGTTGAAGTGCTCGCCTTTTTTTCTTTTCTTTCAGCTCTCGTGTCATGCTTGCTCTATCTTTCGCGAACGCGGCTTTGTTCACCTGCTGTGACTAGATGGGAAACTGATACAGCTTTACATGTGGAGAGCGTCCCTTGGTGTTTTCTGCATTGTGGCAGCCATAGGCGTACCAGCTAGGGGGATGGGGGCAAGCCCCCCCTCTGAGAAAAGTTGGGTGGGTTGAGCACCCCCCCCCCTTTCAACAGTGGTCACTGTAGGCTGCACGCTGGGAAAAAGAACAAGTAAGGCGTAGTTTTCCATCACAATAGTAATTACTCAATTATGTTCCTACGGAAGAATGAAATTGTTACGAGGCTATATATGTTGCAACATAGTGTAATTTCACCCACCAACACCAACATTGCCGCTTTGATAATTTTACTTGTAGGTTATATATATTATATATATATATATATATATATATATATATATATATATATATATATATATATATATTATATATATATATATATATATATATATACTGGGAGTGATGATTCAATGGGCCAGTAAGTCTTCGTGAAGGTATGGGATATGGCACAACGGGAGCGTTGTCAACAAGGATAAATATATTTCCCAACAGTTTCGGGAGAGATACTTTCTTCGTCAGGGGATAAATATATTTATTTCCCAACAGTTTCGGGATAGGTACTCCCTTCGTCAGGGGATTCATCCTCTGACGAAACGGGAGCGCGTGTCGCACGCGCTCCCGTTTCGGCGAAACACACTCACTCGCCTGCGACCTCTCCCGCATCTCTCCTCAAGTGTTCCGGAGCTCGGCGCCAGGGCCAGGCGCGGCGTTGTCATCACTGCGCAAACTTGAGCCTCGGTTCCCTATATAGACGAGAGCACGCCTATCTCAAACCCAGGTGCCTTCGTCGGTATACCGTCGCTCCCAGAGACGCCATAATTTGTTTGCAACTGCCAAGGCGCGTCACGCTAGCATGGAATGCAGTGGCTCTAGGAGTTTAAAATACCAAAAAGCGTGTGGTCACGCTGCGCCCGCTTATAAGATGTCATCTGGGTACCACTGCGCTGTCATCTGATGCGGCAAGAACCAGCGCAAGAGGAAGATATTGCTGAGCACTGCCCGTGAAGTTCACAGCGCATCGCGGGAAGCATGCGGTGTTTTTGCGATTGCACAAATTTTCTTCTACAACGAAAAACGCCGAGCTCCACCACCTTAGGATACGATCGCAATCATGAGGAAAAGCTACGAGCCCTGTGAAGTGTACGAGTAAGTAAACTTATTGTGTTTATTCAAGCATGAATCTATACCTGTTTCACGTTACAGCAGCGATTTGCGTGCAGTATGCCTGTAGTATGACGCACAAAACTATTTCCGTACTCTTTCGCAGGCCGCATGTTAACAATAAATATACGTATTACGACTCACGCGTGGATGCACGCACCGCGCATGCTTAGTACAACCATAACGACCTACTATCGCGATGCGTGAACGGCGCGGAAAGCATGGCTTTCGACTCGGTCGAACTGCGACATGCCCTGACTGTCACTATAGGCGAATCTACACGTGCTTTCGGCCGGCGTAACCGTAGCATTTTAAAATGTTGTTCTGGCTGGCACTCCTGCACCGTGCGTGTGTTCCGAGTGCCCGCCAGGACTGGCAATTGATACACATGCGGTATGAGCGTAAGTTGGAACCAAATTCTAGCGCTACGTTGAAGCTGGCTTAGAGCACTAATTCTGACTTGTCGCAGCCAAGGCACGCCGCAGTTCGACTAAGTCGAAAGCAACGCTATTCGCGTTACTTTCAATCGCAATAGTAAGTACTTGATGAAGCTGCTTCCGTAGTCTGCAATGCACGTGCGGCAGACATTCCGGACTGTCGAGGAGGGTCTCCTCGACGTTTCACACCACATCAGCACAAACTTCCAGCACAGGAACAGCGCGAAACATGCTTACAGCCAGACTCGAGTTGTGAAGTTTCGCGTTTGATTTGCAGAGCGTCTGCTCGCCAGGCAGTTGAGAGTTGCCTCCCCGCGCTTGCAACAGACGGCGACACGCGCTTTCCCATATGGCAGCAAGCACTGAGATTGCTGTGTTCTAGGGAATAGCTTACCGGGAGTCGATACGGGTGACCAGTTGAATAGTTCTCCTTGGTAGGAAACGTTGTTGAATTGACTGCACTGTACAGCCCCGAAAGCTGGGCGCATCCTCGGCGCAGCTCTGCGAGGAAAGAAGTACAACGTCACATAATGGAAGTCTAGAATTAGATTCATCAAAACTTAGCCGAAATATTGTAATACCTGAGTGTTGCACATCCTGTAACGTTTCCTCTCCCCGATGCAGTAGCGTCCGCCATAAGCCGGCCTGAAGAAAACGTTGAGCGTCGATATGAACGAACAGGTACAATTCACGTCGCCAGAACTAAATTAGAAATATGGCTTCTAATACGCGATGTAAATAAGCATCACGTTTTAACGCGATAGCGTTAAAAAGCTCGTGTCGCAGAAAACCCGCCGCTGGCGTCACCCCCGTTGGTTGTGAGCGAAACATCGTCTGTGCGTCTGTGACCGAAAAATCAAGTTACCGAAATAGGCACGGGAGGCCGCTACTTGTCCACGCGTGCGCACGCGATCACACTGAAAAAGCCGCGCATTCGGAGAAAAAAAAGTGCTCAAGGTCACGAGGCATGGTAGTTTCTTTGCCCTGACACCACTCTTTGCTTAGCTTCCAGCGGTTTCGTCGGGACGAGAGAAGAGATAATGCAATTGGAGCATGCGACAAACCTTTGTAACTCCACTCGCACTGGACGGATTCTTAATTTTTTTCGGTGTTGAATGCGTGAGACAATAAGCTCTTCTTGTTAATTCCTTTCATTGTATACTGGGAAAAAGTGTTTCGGGACCCTTTTAACGCATTTTGTTCGGCAGGTGTCACGACGAAAACGAGCACATTCGGTGATAATAGCGCGCGCTGGTCCAATCTACTGTGTGTATGTTTGTGTGCATGCGTGTGTATGTAAGAAAACATATGAACAAGTATGCACTTAGCAGTTGAAGGGTGTACTTGGGGCCAGATTTCGCTATCGCGTTGAACTCTTAAAGGCGAAGATTAAGGGTCCCCCAATGTTTTTTATGAAGAGTTTGATAGGCAAGCGGCGATATAATGGTCGCCATTAAAATGACTCGCACAGTGAGATAATCGAATTACTAATATGACCTTCAAACGAAGTCATATATATATATATATATATATATATATATATATATATATATATATATATATATATATATATATATATATATATATATATATATATATATATATATATATATATATATATATGTAGGCATGGTGGTGAAGTGGCCGTAGCGGTAGCATTGGATCATACCTCATCAACCGATGTACTTGCAGCAATTAAAGCATTAGAAAACAATAACGCAATAATGACAATAAAAACTGAGTTTACGGTACTGCAGCTCCGACGGGCACTGGACAACTGAAAATACTTCTAAGTGTAACTACTCCTAATAAGTACAGCTGTCCTCCGTTTTTATTTCACAATCTTGATTGCACAATCTTGAGGCCCCTACTACGTTTTACAGGAGCGGGCCAGAATTGACATTGCACCCGCTTGCCAGCCTCTGCGGCAATACGCGGCGCCTCTCTTTCAACGACGAGACGTGCGAGAGGCGCTACTTCTTCGCTTGATTTCGTGCCGACCGGTTGTGCCCCCGCGATCTCCGACGATAGCGCAGCTCTGGCCGACTGTGCTCCCCCTAGGCCATCTCCTGCCGCCGACTTGAGCTCTCGCTGAAACCGTCTGCGACCGTTTCCATCTTTCCTATCTCCTCTTTACTTCTGTCGCTTGCTGTCCCTGCGCCTCGCTCTCTCCTTCCTCTCTCTATATATGCCTTTTAACCCCTCTTATCCCCATTCTTCGTGAGCTACTGTTGAGGTGCCGCCCTCTCATGCAGACAGTTCACTCTTCTCTTCTTCTCTTCATGCAGACAGGCTCACTTTTCTCTTCTTTTTCCTTTAAGAATCACACAAGAAAAAGAAAAAGCTCTTTTTCCCCACACCAAACCGCCAGAGCCATGCGGCGCTGTCTGGTCGGGAACATGGAAGGAAGGATACGCTGACCGCAGACATCTTAAAGGTGATCGTCGGGAAAAAAAAAGTGGAAGGGGGCGGCCGGGGGAGGTGGTCTATCTCATGTTTTCATTGCTTTTTTTCTTTCTTTCCTTTTTCTTTTTTTTTTCGCCTACCCTCGCTTATTTAAGATCGTATAAAGCTGAGCACCAACAAACTGTACCCTCATTCCTGATGAAGGCCAGAATCTGGCTGAAACGTCGAAATAAACCACGTTGTGACTGCTCACGGAGGATCTCTTTGACTACTCGCAACGCTATACGGCCGCATATATAATACGCACGGCCTTTTCAATTCAATTAGCGGCGCTTCATGCTTCAGGTTATGAAGGCCAAAACGACGTCGGTTTTGGCAAGTGTCGAAGCTGTCCTAAAGCTCCAAGAGTCACCCATGTAATTTAGCGACAAATAGAACCAGCGAAACATACACTCTAAAAAAATATCGAGTAAAAAAGGGTGTCTTTTTGTCCCACAACAATAATCGTCACCAGGCTTTCGTGCGCTTCCTTTCTTGAAAACTCGGCGCTGGCCACTTTCCTACCGAGAATGCAATGCGACTCTGATAATGGGCATGTCTATCGTGACCGGAATGTACCGGGCGCGGGGCGATAGCTTAAGGATAAAACGCAATATAGATGACAATTATTGTTGTGGGGGAAAAAAAACACCCTTTTTACTCGCTCTTTTTTGCCAGTGTATATCGTTCATAGACATTTAAATATCAATAAATTGTTAAAATTATTGAAATTCAAAGCGCAAACTCATTTTAAATGCAGAGATATATATATATACTATATTATGACGGCGTGATAGTATACTTTTCTGCCCCTACAAACATGCGACAGATATGAAAGTGGGAGTCGTTAACATCGTGATACAGATTATACAGCCATTTGCGCACGTTTACTTTGTTTTCTAACATCTTATTTCTTTCATTGTTCAAGTTTTGCAGACATTTTCATAAAACCGATATTTACCTAGCTCCATCAAAACAATGTCAGCGGAAGCAACGAAAACAATCCGTTAACATTCCGCAAAGAGCGCGAACGAGGCGGACAGTGTGGCGACCTTTCTGATCGCTTCGAGCGCTTAGTAAAGCGAGGAAGGTACGAACAGGCAGTTGAGTATCTTCTCCGTTGACTTTTCAAGTCGGCCAAGACGAGCGCTTCGAAAGTCGGCGGTAGCGCATACACAAGACGACTCGTTCACGCACTCGCTCAGTCGTATTATGCACTAAGAGACCTCCGACGGGCTCAGCGAAAACTACAAGTCAGCGCTATTTCATGGCGACAAATACATAGAGAGAAGGCACTCACGAAATTCAGCTGCCTGAGTGTGTTGTATTCGAGGTATCGGGCCCCCGAACACGCGCAGTGGTTGTTGCATGCAAACTTAACCAGCCAGGGGAATTTATGCTGGTCATTTTGTGCTCTTTGATGACGAACCAAACGATGCATAAACAGCGCGCCGCTCTCTTCTTGACGCGCGAATTTTAATAATTTATTTGCTGTTACTGCCAGCACTTGCCAGGAGCTCAGGCGGGAATGGGTATGAAAACATCAGTGGGTATTAAAAGAGCGCAAGGCATAAAACTGAACACAGGAAGACGTGCGAACACCGTAGAGGTATAATACTATAAACAAGAGACACCTGTGCACCCCGCGCTTCAGTGTCATTTCTCTGTCATGTGTTTAATTCACGCTGTCCCGTAATTAACGACAAGACAACCCTTAGTTCGGGTCTGTGAAGCATCAAATCTCCGAAAATTCTGTTGTCTATTTCCTTCTCACAAAGGAATCTACTGCGCAGTGCAATTCGCACCAGTGTCCAACAAGTTAACTCAATAAAATGTGGCACACGAAAATCACGAATATCTGCGAAGATTCACTTCATACTGAATAGTTGGCGATTGGTTTCGTAGTGAGCATCACGAAGAAAGTCACGACGACGGCTCACCTATAGAGGAGAAAAATGCGGGAAGTAAAAAGTCGCCAAAGCAAACTATTTCGCGTACACACCGCCCAAGTCGATCCACTCGATGGGCAGAATGTAGAAAGAAATACGAAACAGCCGAAGTCTATTAACCACACGGTCAAGGAAGGCTTAGTGGACACATTTCCCTCATCAACGACGACATTTGTATTGCCGGTACGAGGGCAGTTCCAGCAATGCTATGCCTTCAACGCAGGCGTAATGAGCTCTGACGCAGGGCAAATTCTCCTTACCGTGACCACCGTTGGCGCGTACTGCAATGCACTGCGAAGCACTTACTTCCTGAATATATGGGTCGTATTACTAAATACTGTTGTAGCGTGCAATAGAATTCCATGGCCGAAGTCCATTTCCTACTTAATTATTTTCTATATTGAGACCACTGCTCTCAGTCTCGGCCTTGCGATCGATGGAAATTGTCGCCACTGTTCAAGTGGTCGCGTTACCTAACGCTTTCATCGGACGCGAAAAAAAAAAAACATTGCAGGAGTTTCGTACCCTTTTACACTGTCGCAAGGAACCACTATGTCTTCATTTATCACCCGAGCGTCACTGATAATCGCTGCTAGAGATGGTTCAAATCCGGCCTCCCGCCAAGAAGTTTAGTTGGTTAATTTATTAATTTCTGAGATATCCTGTCTCTGGGGACACACACACACAGCGCGCGCGCGCGCGCGCACGCACACACGTACACGCACGCACACACGCGCGCCCGCACAAACACACGCACGCACACACGCGCGCCCGCACAAACACACGCACGCACACACGCGCGCCCGCACAAACACACGCACGCACACACGCCCGCACGCACACGCACAAACACACACGCGCACACACACACGCACACACATACGTACACACACACATACGTACACACAGACGCACGCACGCGCGCGCACACACACACACGCAAACACACACACACACTGTTATGCCTGCGAGTAAACATCGAACGTCCATGCCTCTGAAAAAGGCAATCTGTGTCAAGGCCAGCCCGCCTGACGCGAACAACCCAACGGCGTCATCACGCGGCAGCGCCTCTCTGTCGCGCGACGCACAGCGAGCTACCTCAGCCAATGACCCCGTTGCAGCAATAGGAGCCTTCCTGTCTGGCGAGAGTTACGCAATGCGTGGCGACGTCACTCGTCCTTGGGTGCAGCCACGTGCAGTGCAGCGGCTCCGGATTCGATGAAAATGACGGGGCCCAGCGGCGACCCCATTGGAAGATTCTGACCTCACGACCAGCGGCGCTTCTGGTTGGACATTTGGTTACTCAAAGAATCCACCCGGTGCATATAAAAAAAAAAACCCCTGCGGCGCGTCGCGAGCAGTAGACCTATGTGTCAGAGAAGAGAGCTCGGCTCTTCGAGTCTCTAAGCTGTCGGCCCCAGTGCCGAATTTGTAACGCCTCTGTATATATGCTGTACATAAACCTTGTTTAACTCCCCGTCGTCTCGTCCGCTCGTCTATCAGCTCTGCGCGGAAACAGTCGCGAGCTGAGAAACCTACGCTACCAAACGGCTAGTGACCTTCCCGGCGGAGTTCGAAGCAGTGGCGCCTTCGGGACCGTGTTGGCGTCGCCGTCTTTCGTAACAGTGGTGGCAGCGGCGATGATTCGTGGCGCCCTTCGTAACGTCGTCGGAGTCGCGCTTCGTAACAATACACACACACACGCACACACACACACGCACACACACGTGCACGCGCGCGCGCGCGCACTCACAAATTTTTTTAAGGAATCATTCGCGAAGTTCTATGTATGGCGTTACTGAGCCAAGCCGAAACGTAACTTCAAGAGCATTCTTCCAGCTGATTTCGACCGCGAGGGTTCGCCGCTAATGCGGATAACTCCTCCCCCGCGATAAGCGTTGGAAGTGTTGCATCGGAGAAAACGATCGCCGCGTCCCTTGCGCTTTCAGCAACGAGTTTACATTGCAGCCCAGTGTTCACAGTGTTCAGCTGCCAACCCAAATTACGCGGGTTTGAATCCCGGACACGACGGTCGCACTTTGATTGAGGCGATATGCCAGAGGCACGCGTAATGTGCGACCACAGTGAACGGTAAAGAACGTCAGCTGGTCGAAATGTTCCGCAGCGTTCCACAACGGCGACTCCAACAGCCTGGGTCGCTTTGGGACGTTAATAACCGCGATCCAACCAAGCCATTCTTCGGGTATGCACGTCGAGTACACGGAAAGTCTTGTTGTCGAAGCATGCTCGTGTACTCACGAACTTAACGGAATAATTGAATTATGTCGATTACACGTGCCTCCAAGAGAAGACATCCTGCGTTCGCCTAATTACAAGTCGTGTGCCCGGGAAATAGACATTTATCGCCGGCAAGTCGGACGTAGTTGAGAAGACGGTTATGTTTTACTGCATATAAACAGTATGTAACATAACGATATAGTATACGTAGGATAGTTAACGTACATACCAAACAGCACGTGTGATTAGGTGAATTTGTACACAGTAAGGCTACGCGGTCACTGGCAGACGCAAGCTTCGCGGGAAGGCAGCCGATGTCTACCAGATGGTAATGGGCCTTTGAACACAGCCTTGCCTCCAACTCTAAGTGACAGTACTTAGAGGCGGCGCTGCCTGGCCGTTCAGACGTCGAAGCCCAACAGCGTTCATTGCGCGAGCAAAAGCGGACCCTGATGTAAGCCCGGACTAAGGATACCACCCAGTATGTATAGGGCCCTTTAAGGGGCTTATACGCTGTGTAAGTGTAAATAGGTTTTTTCTTCCTCTCAATGTTGAGTAATACGTATATCTGCAGCACTTAACGACAGATCATGACTAACCCCCGTATTCACAAACGCTCCTTCACTCAAGGAGTCTCCTCGACTTGAAAAAGTCGATGGGAGCACCGTCTCTTGGAAGAAGAAGTCACTGCATATCGGCAATATTCTGCCGCGATTATTGAGAAGCGCAGCGTCAATTTCAGTCGAGCAGCGGCGCAGTGCTCAACTCAGTCAAGTGAAGGACGGAATTGAGTCGAGGAGCGTTTCTGAATACGGGGGTAAGTTTGTCTCTACCGCTTTATCCTGCCTCTGTTGCCCCCTAGAGATAGTTTTAGAGCGAATTAGCTGGTTCCCAGCGATAAAAAGGCATGTCACAGCTTTACCTTAAAGGCAATGCGCTGAAAGTAATAGCAATATATTGAGCAACCTGATCTCAAATTTATCGTCCCTATATAACGGAGTAAGCTTCCATTAAACCCGCTAATACTTACTGCATTGTATACAACGCCATGGGGTGCTATATACTGCACCACTAGGCAGTATACACTAATCACTACTGTTTATCCCTTCCATACATTGCATCACGTATATCGCAGCAGTTCATCCTTCTCGCGAGAGAAACAAACAAAAATAAAGCGACATTGACAGAGCCAGCAAGAGACAAAACGAAACAAGCATGTGCACCTCGGGTGGTCGCAGTGTCTTTCGGAAACCGTGACACCACCTCCACAGCTGCGCGAGCACTCGGACCAGTTGGACCAGGGGCCCCAGTGGCCGTCGATGGCCTCCGGACGCTCACCCATCTCAGTGCACTCGCCAAGGTAGCACCACTGCGCGCATAGAGAGGCTACGCTGGAGAGAGAAGGTCTCGAAGGTTCCGATGCGAATTCAAAGCATACTTACTCCAAGGAGAGTCGGATGCAACATGCCACTAGCGCACACACGCGATTACACACAAGCACGCTGTCTCGGAAGAACAAACATAGATCAAAGAAAACGACAAGCGCAGCCATGCAATCTTCTCGCGGAGTGTAAAAAAAAAAGAATTGAATATATTGCTTTTGTGAATGACAAACCAACGTGACAATCTCAGACGCTTCACGTCAGATCTGTCGTCTCTGTGTACATCACTTAAAAGGACGGCAAATAAGAACGATCTTCTCGTATCCATGAATTAGAATTTCACAATATCTAGAACACCACAACGTGAATATTGTCGAGTAAAAATGAAATAAGGACAGCAACAGCGCATTGAAGTTCACGCACCAGCTAGCCGTGAGGTCACTAAGTTTGACGGCGTTTTCGAGGGACTATGTAAAACTGTTAATCGATGAAAACACTTTACATTGTGTTCTAAGAAGCTCAAAGTGACGAAGTATAACGACAGAGCGCTAGCGAGAACACGAAAACACGTACACGAGAAGATGGCGGTACAGATGAAATGACGCATCGTTCTTCTTGGACAAATGCCTTCTCGGAGAAACGCTTTTCTTGATCGCGGGGGGGGGGGGGGGGGATTTTGTAAATTACCAGTTACGTTTGTCTAGAAATCTCATTTTGTGTTTGCCGCCCGTTTGTTCCCTTCATTTTTTTTTTTTTTTGTTGACAAGCTGCGAGAAGTGGGATTCGTCCAATTTCAATGACTCACAGCCGTTGACGATGATAACAGTCTTTTGCGCACATTTGTATTATACGCTCCAAAGTTTTTGCGGCCGGCTTAAACATCAGCTTCATTGCTACTTCAAAAAAAAAAAAAAAACACCGGCATTATGCAGATATCATTTTCTCGCTGTTAACTCCAGCTGCTGCAAAGGGCCAAGGACGACGGCGCATATAACCAGTGTGGCACAATAGCTCTGTGCATTCTATGAAAAATTTAAAAGTAAACCGCGCGCCTGAAAAACGGGCTGTTTACGAGTTTAATGTTGCGCGCATTCACTACGGCGCTGCATACTCACGGTCATTTACGTGCCGAAGAATGAAACGACATAATGTGACGACATCCTCACATTCGCCAAACTGCGCCACACACTGAAGCTCACGTCATTTCACGACAGTGTGACAAAAAAAAAAGCGCGCTCAAAAGCGCGTTAACAACAGCTGTTATTACAGCCGTTATCTTGGACAACGAAAAAAAAATAGATGTCATCTAGAAGGCGAACACGGGCTCCACTACATTACACTGGTCCCATACTCGCAATTCGGCGTTTACTATTTTTCGGGGATTGCTTTTGAGCGTGCTGAGATGCGGGTTTATTAACATTCTTCCTAATAACACATCAAGTTCGCACCATCTCCAACAATAGCAACAAGAAGAAATCAACGCACCTTGTTCTTGTCGCAGACGGTTCCCTGTGCAGCTGGCTCCATTTTGGTGACGCACTTGTTGTCCAGGCGGCACCACAGCGTCCGACACACTTCCTGGCACGGGACACACCCGTCGTCAAGACGCGTGCACGCACACTATCACCGTCACGTCAAACAAAGCACTTGAACGCTTGTCGCTCGGAATGGCGAACGCGTGGCTGTGAGAGTAACCATGCTTTATACAGGCACGCTAGAACGAACGGGATGTGCTCCAGCGGGGCTTCTTATAGTGGCACGGGCAGCTAGCAACAATTTCTGTTTATTTACCAAGACCTTCCGGTCAATGATTGATGACCCGCACGTCGCGGGATCGAATCCCGTGCTGCGGCGGCTGCATTTCCGGTGGAGGCGGAAATGTTGTAGGCCCGTGCGCTCAGATTTGCGTGCCCATTAAAGAACCCCAGGTAGTCGAAATTTGCGGAGCCCTTTACTACGGCGTCTCTCATAGTCATATGGTGGTTTTAGGACGTTAAACCCCACATATCAATCAGCGTGAAGCGGAGACGAACGAGCGCATCAAGTCACGTCACACGTGAAACATGAGCGCTATCCGGCAGTTATCTTGGAAAGCGAAGCGTGCGCGCCCTGCGCGCCCATCTCGGAGGTGATAAGGTGTAGGACGCAAGGCGACGGGTAGGTGCCACTACCATGTCGCCTTGGCAAAGCGTTGTTGTAAACACTTGCCTTCTCGTGCAAGAATATGGTCAGCGCAACGTGACAAACGCTACGATCCTTAGGATTACTTATGTATGCGTTTTCTAATAAGAGACACATACAAAATGTCGACGTGTTGTTATGGTGCCTCAGATATGCGCAATATTAACTCTTTAATTGTCAATCGCACAAGTATGCACGCTGAAGCTTGAGCAATACTGGTGGGCGCTGCGGATGGGGTCGGCCGTTTAGAGTATCGTTTGGCGACTTTGGTGCCAATTAAGGTACCGTTAAGGGCGGACAAACAGACAAATGTATAGTCAGACAGACAGACCAAATTTTTGCGTCGCTGCCGCTGGGAGGCGGCACTCACCAGCGACGAGCTGGCCGACCAGCTTTGGGCCGTCCAGCAAGCTGAAGATGCCGCCCGGGTCCAAGGACTTTGAGCGGTCACCTGAGGCACCACCATCATAATCGACAGAGAGTGGGAAAGGACAGGGGTTAATCCCCTCTTCCCCCACCTCACCCAGTGAAAACTGCCGGACTTTAAATAAACTTCATTCATTCATTCATTCATTCGAAGGTCCCCAAGAAAGACTATCGTCTTTAAAACGGTACAGTTGTGGCGGTGGTCAGCGGCACACGAGCGGCTGTGAAGCTGGCTTCCCGCGTCAAAAGAATGCTTTTTGCGCATGTGAGCGCACTTTGGGGGGTGCGAGAAGCGAGCTTTATCAAATGCGCAACTCTGCTAACTTATTGTAGCATATAAACCTATACTTTCTAAACAGTGGCAGGCGCCGTCGACATACTGATATATATATAGGGACCTTAATACTGAGGCGCTAGCACCGACGTCGTGCCGCATAGGCTACGCGTAGGAGGCTCATCGGCAAAGTACTCTTTGGCGTTGCATAAAATGTTGCCAGACTGAGAGGGTCAGTTGGCAGACTGCCGCCAAATTTGGTAGAGACATTCGCCCCTGGAGTTGTGGCTTCCTTGCGAGAGTTTCGTGTCGTCCGCGGTGCATTTTGCGAGTGCATGAGCGGTGCTGGCCGTTTTAATTAACAGAATGAACCACGCCTTGCAGACGTTGGGGCGCGTTCTCTTAATGTGTGCGCTGCTGTGCAATTAAGAGATCGTGTCTCAGTAGTAGGGACGACGGGGAAAACTAAAATAGAGTCCCAGCAGGCGCTGCGCTGCCCCCCCCCCCTTTTTTTCTTCTTTTTTTTTTCACAGCTGATCGTGCCGCGTCGACCGCTTGCCACGACGGGGACGCTACGCTTCTCCTAGCAGTGTCAGCACAAGACATCGTTCGGACTCGTGTACATGTGACGAATAAACGTCCCAAGGCTCGCTAATCGCGGTACGTCGGGTATGCTACAGCTATATACGCCTGGAAGGCTTCTTTATCGACGCAGTTGGAGCGAATTAAGCGCAAATCGCGCGTACCTGTAAATAGGACCCCGCCGACCAGCCACCGCCGCTTGCAGGGCCCCACCCGCAATAAGCACAAACAACCAAAATTCCAAACAATGAATGCTTATGCGGGGTCCCATTTACAGGTACGCGCGAGTCACGCTTTAATTCGCTCCAACTGCGTCGATAAAGCAGCCTTCCAGGCGTATATAGCTGCAGCATATCCGACGTACCCCGATTAGCCAGCCTTGGGACGTTTATTCCTCACATGTACACGAGTACGAACAATGTCTTGTGCTGACACTGCTAGGGGAAGCGTAGCGTTCCCGTCGTGGCACGCGGTCGACGCGGCACGATCAGCTGTGAAAAAAAAAAAAGAAGGGGGGGGGGGCAGCGCACCGCCTGCTACGACTCTATTTAGCTTTCCCCGTCGCCCCTAATACTGAGAAGCGATCTCTTAATTGCACAGCAGCGCACACAGCACGAGAACGCGCCCCGACTTCTGGAACAATCGTTTTACGCTCATTTTGTTAATTAAAACGGCCAACGTAGCTCACGCACTCGCAAAATGCACCACGGACGACACCAAACCCTCACGGAGAAGCCACAACTACAGGGGCAAATTTATTCACTAACTTTGGTGGCAGTCTGGCAACAACCACTCCAAAGTCTGGCAACTGATCTATGCAACGCCAAACAGAACCTTACCGGCTCATCCGACAAGCTGTGCTCGAAGGCAGCTTTGCAGCTGCTGTGACAGTTGTCACGTGATCATGGAGGGCGGTCGATAGCTTTGGGCTGGGCGGAGCGTTCGTGCCGCGACGTCGCTACAAGTTCCCCAGTATGTCGACGGCGCCTAACCCTCTTTACAATCATCATCATCATCATCATCAGCCTGACTACATCCACTGCAGGACAAAGCCCTCATGTTCTGCCAGTCAACTCGGTCCTGTGCTTGCTGCTACCACCCTACACCCGCAAACTTCTTAATCTCATCTGCGCACCTAACCTTCTGTCTCCCCCTAACCCGCTTCCCTTCTCTGGGAATCCAGTCAGTTACCCTTAATGACCAGCGGTTATCCTGTCTACGCGCTACATGCCCGGCCCATGTCCATTTCCTCTTCTTTATTTCAACTATGATATCCTTAACCCCGGTTTCTTCCCTGATCCAATCTGCTATCTTCTTGTCCCGTAAGGTGCGGCCCCACTGGTGACCACTGCAGGTAGTAACGCACTCCCTCACCACAGAAGCACCGGCCACCCTGGTGCAGTATCTGGCCACTACCTCCCACATGCATGCGTAAATTAACCCACAAACTTATAGTAGGTCTATACAGTGTAGAGCAGCTAGAGCAGCTAGCATCGTCGCGGCACCTGGTGGAACATACCTCAACCACGCGCATTTTTCCGCATGGGATCTGAGATACGCTGCGGCCGGGCGACGAAACGCAAGGTTACCCAAGAAATAAACCAGAGAGCAAGAATGCTGACGAGCGAGTGCCATTACCATACACCTAAGTCAAAACTTGTGGTCGCAAGCAATTTTTTAGGGGCGAAGCTCCTTATGGCGTGGCTTGTGCGTCCCTCGTAGTACATAACCAACAGTGGCACATACCCGAAATAGCGGTCCTTACGATTTTGACCTCCAAGGTGGTTCCGGTGAGATATTTCTTGTGTGCGTTGTTGAACAATAAAAGATAGTGCTCAATGCACATGTTAATGGCTGCTAAGAGGGAATGAGAGACAGGAGCATTCGGCCTTTAGGTAACGCGCACGCTGCGATCCCCATTAGCAGCTATTGGCATGTACATTGAGCACGATCTGACAAGAAGGGGTTGCTACGTTATACTCGCTGGGTGTAACCTCCTTGGTTTTAGAAAGGTTTAGCGAGCGTTGGGCCGCATAGCCATGAACACAGTGAACTAGTATATACCATGAACTAGAGGTGGTTAAAGGTGGCAAGTAAACCCGAAGCGCAAGCCGTAAGAAAGTGTGCATGTGCCACCTCCCGTTTAGTCCTTGAAATGTCCGCTGGATGGCGGTGCTTCTATACGGAGAATATATGATGAAAAGATGCGAGATGGTGGTACTTGGAGTGCTGAATAGATGGATGAACGGACACACAGACAGATGCATGGATGGACGCATGAACGGACGCAGGCGCGGATGCATGGACGAACGCAGGGACGGACGCACGAACAGACGCACGCACGGACGGGTGCATGGACGTATGGACGGTTACACAGACGTACGCAGGAACGGACGGAAGCAAGAACGAATGGACGGACGAATGCTTCGCCCCACTCCCCATCATTCACTCCGTAGATATGCTGCCATTTTTTTAATTGGTTTTGCATAAGGAAATTTTGGCGCGAAAATAAAGCACCGGTTACTACAGGTGAACGTTGCTAGCGCGGACACAGAATAAGCTTGATTGATATGTGGGTTTAACGTCCCAAAGCCACCATTTGATTATGAGAGACGCCGTAGTGGTGGAGGGCTCCGGAAATTTCGACCACCTGGGGTTCTTTAACGTGCACCCATATCTGAGCACACAGGCCTACAACATTTCCGCCTTCATCGGAAATGCAGCCGCCGCAGCCGGGACCTGCGAGTCAGTAGCCGAGTACCTTAGCCATTAGACCACCGCGGCGGGGCGACACAGAATAAGCTGTAAATAACTAATGTCGTATCTCCCTGAGGCAAGACAATAAAACAGTCCCAATTATTCATGTTGCGTAGTAAGAACGCTACTGAAAGGATGTAAACTACGGTACACACAGCGTAAAAATATTCGCATGACTCAAGCGACCACATGAAATATGGCGGAACTAACCGCCGCATTTCATGTGTAGTGGAATGTAGGCAGCAGAAGGTAGTATACATTTCGGCAGTGAAATGTCGTTCACAGTAGCAGACTGACAACGAGTTCTTTGTGAGACATCACGAAGCAATCGTAATTTTCAAAATTATTAAGTTATAAATCTCTCTTTTTCTGTACACGATCTTTTTTTTTGCAACCCGGACGTGGCAGTGTATTTGGCCGCATATTCACGCAATTAAAAAAGTCAAAGGTAACTCTATTTCACTTTCTGTTACAGAAAAGGGCACTCACTTTCTTCCAATAGTTTTATTCGACAGCTGTGAAAGCTCGCAGCCCCGACAACTCGATTATACTTCAAATATAAGTAAAGTAAGAAAGGTTAATAACATCATGATGTATTCTAAAACAGCAAATAAAGATTTAAAAAATGCCAGGATTGCTGCGGAATAGCGCAGCATAGTCCCTAGCAAAAGCTGAAAGAGCGGTCTTTCAGAGTCCTTTTAAACACTCATTGGGAACCTGCCACAAGCACGCTTACAGGGTACCCACTACGCCAAAATCGTCATAATGTTTGTGTTCTAGGGAGCCACTGACTAGGCCACCATTTATCATTCTTTGGAGTAGAGTGGTACCTGGTACAAACTTGTACAACTATTTGTTGCTGTGACTGAAGCAATGAAGAATTATGCCTGAAGCTTTTGTAACGGGTTGGAGCATTCGGCAACCCACTCGTATCGCAATTTGCATTGTGCGACACCTGGTTGTTCCATTGCTGTTCTAAAACACTTTATTACTCAGATTAACGCGATTTCTTTCCCGACATAAAGACTGGCTAAGGCCAGTTCGCAATGGAGTTAGTTTCAGGCACCGGCATGGCTCTGTGGTAGAATACTCGGCTGGCACGCATGGAACCCGGGCTCAAATCCCATCGTGCCCTTGATGTTTAGCAAACCGGATGCTCCAATTTCTGGTCAACCTCCCTGCCTTTCCCTCACTTTATTCTCTCTCTCGCTTGACACGAAAGTGTTTTATGTCGGGGTCTATCACGGCTCCGCTGATGTATTTCCGTCAAAGATATGACGCTGTAAAAGATATGCTACAGATCGCGAAAAAAAAACGCTACGCAAAACCGCAACGTAAAACCGCTACGCAAACGTGCCACGAGGCGTCGTGCCAGCGGCCTCTCGAACAGCAGCGCGCGGCATTGACCACAACGCCACAGCGCGCACGTTGACAAGAGCGTTAGCGGCAAGCCATTTCTATACACCACATACCATTTGGCGGTCCTCAGAGCTCCGCACATTTAGCGCGTTTTCGTAATCAGTTGCGAGATGGCGCGAAGAGCGCGCGTTGGGCCCGACGGTCGTCGCCTCCGGCGTTTCGGAGAGCACCGCCTCCGCGAAGCGTGGTCTCTCCTGCGCGCACGCTTACCAGACTCGTGTTTTGAGAGAGCACGAAGGTCACTTCACTCGCTGCCGCGGCCGCATTTACGAAAGGAGCACGCTGCTCATACATGAAAAAGTAAAGATTGTAACTTGTCCCGTGTATACTTGTGCATTCGTTTCCAACGCCTTTCTTTATATTTATACAGTACGCTTTAAGTGTCCAGCTGTGACAGTTTGGTAGTCCGCGCTCACACCGAGTATGGTGGTGGCGGTGAAAACGTATTTAGTTATTTATTTATTTACATGAAATTTTCTGCGGAGAAGCTCCGAGTAGTCGGAGATGCTTGGCATGCGGTGGGGGGGGGGGGGCTTAGTTCAGGGCTCCGCTTGCAGCAGCCGCTCTGCGGGCCCGGTTGATCAGACTAAACTGATCTTCCAGGTTCTCGCTGGCCAGCAGCTCCTCCCATCGCTCCCCTGTTGGATTTTGTACTGGTTGTAAGGCTGTAATGGCCTGACACTCCCACGTGACGTGGTACAGAGTGGCTTTAGCTCAACACCGGGTATGCTCATATCATGCGTGCTTTCTGCTTAAGGTGTGGGCTGCGGATTTCCCCGCGTGACTTCGCAATTCATTGCTGTAGCATTCATTTCTTCCGCCTTGTGGCGAAGCAATGCACAATAAACGTTCAGCTACATCTGAGAAGACATGTTTCACACTCGTGTCTTACCAATTCCTGGAAAGAGGAATCAGCCACAATTTCTGTTTAGTTTTTCTTCTTTTGCGCGATAGTGGTTACGGACAGCGACGACGGACAACTACGGCACATACGACTCTTGTTGCGATCTCATAACAGCTTTCGCTGTGAAAGGCGAATGCTTCCTCCCCGTGTCGTCAATCCGCCTGTCCAATTACTGTAAAGCGTGCTCTGCCTGCATTGCCCCACCGTTTGCAGAAAAGCTTGTCGTAGAACGTACGTTCACGATATTGGACACGTACCTCGAGGGCAAAGTTCGAGTAATTGTATTGCAAAGCCATTTTTTTACACTGAATGTAAAAGAGAACTACTGGCGATTAGAAGGTAAAATTCATGTTTACCGCCTCTTTTCTTTCTCTTGCTTCTTGTTTTTTTTTCGAAGCATTTTTTTTTGTCCGCGGAACATCCTTGCATCGGAATTTGTGTTTTCTTTCTGAATAAATGTTTCATTTGCATTACGTTATGTCGAACTTTGTATCCCGTTGCTTCTGAATTCTACGTAAATAAATTACTTTTTTTTTTCTTTAGGCAGCTGAAGCACCGCCGAAATTCAAAATGTGTCTGAGGCGTTGTCAAGCTTTAAAGGGAAATCTTTTACCGCAGGTTTGTCGGCTATCATACACAGAATATAAACGAAGTGAATTGAATTTTATTTTCTCATTCTGCGTTGGCATCTCTCTTTTTCAGGGAGTGAACAGCAGAAGGCCGACGCTGATATGCTGCAGTCAGGAATTTGCGTTTACGCAGGATTCTCCTTCCGGAGTAGAGGGGGAAGAATGGAGTTGAACATAGTGCTGCATCCGAAAATGTGCGGGAAGAGGGATGTCAAGCTCTATCTAGTGGGGGCTATGTACTAAGGGGAGGGGGGTGCATAAATCACTGGATGCAACCCTGTGTCGGTGCAATTTACAATTTAGAAGGCAACGGATGGCCGGAGATACGTAGAGACAAAAAAGATGGCGCTCACCTCGATGCCGTCGCAGTGTTCGGCGGCCGGCCCGTACTGCAGCCGGCACTGGTGGTCGGCGTCGTACATCGCGCCCGGTGGCAGCAATGGAAAGGTGAACTGGTGCGCCCGCGGCTCAGTCGTCTAGGCAGCTGCCCCAGTCTCGGCTGCGCAAGGCACGCACGAGGCAACAATTATGAAAAGTGAGTTGCGTATTCTAGGTGCGCCTCCCACGAACTGTGCGATGGAAAAAAAAATCAAGTAATTGATTCATCAGGGTTAACCGCCAATGAAGAACTCAGCGGCGGTGAGAGAGGCTAGGATTGATTTTTCCGACAAAGTGTTCCTAAGTGGACGCTCACGAAGGCTCGTACGACCTGGAGCTTATAGGTGAATTACTACGGATGCACGAAGGAAAATGGCGACATTTTTAAACAGGACCTGCAACACTTTCTCAGCATGGTCGTAAAATGCTTACGATCGGCAGCTGAACCTCCTGAGAACAAACACGCGAGCCAAACATTATATCGCAGCGTATGGCCCAGAATCTATAATTAATTCTCACTCAAGGTCAGCTAGAAATGGTTTCCTCTTCTCACGAAAAATGATGCCGTACACCAAGATAACCGCTACATAAACTCGAATTCAGCGGCAATCGACCGATTGACCATATTGAGCTGCATAGTTACCCTTACCACTGCGGGATGTCGCCACGCGTTCGCGCACGCTATCACACCGACCTGAAAGTTAACCACGCGTTCCCATAAAAAAAAAATATTAAAGTGCGCCAGCTGATGATGCGCGCTGACGAAAGGACGCATCTTCTTGTCATCCCGATCCCTGCGTAGCCTTTATCGTGCTCGCTGAAACGGAAAGACATAGAAAGCCCTTGAAGAACGAGACCAATATCTGTAACTCGGCTTGTGCTTGAGGAATTCTAAAAATTATTGCGGCAGTCGATGCAGGAGGCAATAAAAGCTCCTCTTTTAATGGAGCCATTGTACAATTACTTGGAAGCAAACTAAGTATACAACACACACGCAGGGGCTGCGCGGCATGCGTCGTATTTGTACTAGCGCTAGCGCGGAGTGGTCGTGTCTGCTGTGTGTGTTCGCATTAGGTGGGATGGCGGGAAGAGTAAAGTGGGCTGCGCTGCAGCATGTCCATCGAGATTAGCGATAATAAGCAGGGGCGTAGGAAGAATTGGGGGGGGGGGCGCAGGCCCGGTGTGTCACTTTCTGGCTACGCCACTGAGTGACGGCTATTATTGCGGACTGTGCAGGGGAAGTAGGCGGCACAGTCATTAGACAGGACACCAGCAAGCTTTCCCAGGAAACGAAAATATTTATTAGGAAAAGTTAGAGCATGGAGCTGGTAAGAGGGTTATTGCAGTCGTAATACGGAACAGGCGGCCCGTAATCAAAGCCACCGTGTGGCACTATACGGAACGGAATAACGTAAACACTCATAGTTGAAGGACTCAAAGGAACTAGATAACAAGCAGTCGTTTCGAAAGAGGACTATATACGGTTATCCTGTAGAATGCATACGCCTGTATCGTACAGGATCATATATCGCTGAAGCGGCATTGCCCGATCTCTGCTGCGCGGACTTCCACTCCATTAAGTGCTACGTTACGGTCAAGTAGGTTTCTTAGATAAGACAGGTGTCGAGAGCACGACGCCACTTACACCTTGATCTATGCATAAATTACTTTTCCACTTCAATCGCGCGTTATTCACGTGTTTCCGCATTCCTCCTCTACAACTATGTTGCAGTCCGAACGAGCGCTTGTTGGCCGGTTGTTGAGATCGGCATCAAGCGTTCTTTCCCTCGATCCCTCTCCTGCAAAGCAGACGATGCGAACGGTTCAGAGTAGCTCACGAGAGTGGCAGCATGTTTTTTTTTTTTTTTCCTCCTCAATGCATAGATATCTTGGGCTTAACACTAGAGATGACTTTGTAGACTTGGAACCTATTCCACCGCACACACAATGTATAAACAGTTCCACGGGGCTATCATGCTGCACGAAACGGGCTATCATGCTGCACGGCCTGTTTATAAGTACTCATAAACCTATGTCCCAAAGGCGGAAGTGACGAATACAGATCGAAACGTCAACGCATTCCATCAGCAGTAGAAACGCATTTTCTGAATCCATAATTCTGGCAAATACACGCTGAAAACTATACACAGAACGACATAGCACAATCGTTATACGACAACCGAAGTTCAATCGCCATAAGGGACACGTATATACAAGTGGTCTTTGCAGGAGGGCGTCAAGGATATAAAACCATTGGGGTTTAACGTTCCAAAATCACGATATTATAAATAGGGCCGCCGTAGTGAGTGTCTCTGGAAATTACTGCCCCCTGGTGTTTTTTAACGTGCAACTAAATCTAAGTACACGAGATTCTAGCGTACCACCTTCATTGGAAGGCAGTTGTCGAGTGCAGGATTTGATCCCGCGACCCGTGCATTATCACACCTTTATCACAAGAACATCGTGCCAGGCGGTGCGGCAAAAATAGGCGGTATGAATTTTTAGACATTCTTCGGTGACTTGGCGCCTGCGTGTGCTCAATGGGATGTATTTATGTATCTTTCGTGTAGGTTAGAAAGAGAGAGAGGGAGAGAGAAAAAAGTGTAATTCGGAAAGGTTGGAACTAAATCAGGAAAAATATCCGGTTTACTACCCTGCACTGAGAAAGGGGTAACCGAAGACAGAAATGTTAGGAATATAAGAATGAGAGAGTGAGGGAGATGAATAGAAACGCGCGCACACTAAACCAACACACACAAAAAACAGCATATCCACAAAGTGAATGATAATGAGTGGGGTGAAGCGGCCTTCAGCCTGTTCGTCCGTGCGTCCATCCATCCGTCCGTTCGTCTGCTAGTCTGTCTGGCCGTCCGTCCGTGCAACCATCTAGTGAAAAATCCAAGTACCGCCATCTCACATCACCTGCGACACATACCCGCTCTAGAGCGGGTATGTGCCAAGCGTGTCACGCCGACAGACAGGGGACATAGCTTGACCCTAAGGAGCTTCGCCCCTAAAACACACACGCGCACACACAGAAAGAGCGAGAAAAAACAAACATGTATGCATTTAAGTCCCGTTTACGTATAATGGCAGTTATGTGCATTATTTGGACTACGTAGCCAGTGTTCTCTAGCATTATGAGCGCACCAAGTCAGTACCCACCAACCAAACGTTAACGCACGCCTTGTTTTGCAGAATAATGTGAACTCAAGCGCGAACAAAGCTCTTCGCCACCCTGGTCCTCTAAACCTCCGCGCTGCTTGTATCCAATCGAAAGAAGGCGCGAGAAGTGCTCAATTCGTAGTATTTGGATTGCGCAATAATCGTGTCCCGTCATGGGCAATGCTGTAGTGATCACGTGCATGCGGCCTACTCTACTGCTATCTTTCCTTCTTATATTTCTAGTTCCGTTCGTCATCCTCGAGTGCAGGGCAGTGAAACCGCGCGCCTGTTTTGATTAACCTGCAAACTTTTCTTTTACTTTATTAATTCATATACAGGAAGCAAGTTTCTTTGTTCACCTCTTGTTTTTTCGTGCGTACGCAGAGAAATGCGCTTTGTTTGCATAGCGCCCATACGGGCACAAGCTTCGGTTTCAGCGAAACTTTCGCACTGGATGACACATCTGCTGCAACAACGAGCGGTGCGCGCATGCGGTTTCGCAAACACGGCTAGCACTTGAAAAAAATAAGCGACACAGGCGGACCTTAGAGGGAAGCTGGAGGGATTTTAGAATTCAATCAAACTTCGTGTTTAGGAAGGACTGCAATTATTGCTGACGATGCCTTAATTGTTTTCGCGGTTGTAGCAGCCGGAGCTTTAGAACAGGCGAAATAAAAGCTTGTCTTGCTCCGCCCCCGCGAGCGCGCTGAAAGTGTGCGCGTGGAAACATACGTCATCTTCGTTTCCTCTGGCCCGGAGCAAGTGTTTTTTTCTTATCTTCAACCACGGCCTCCGCGACTAACCCACGACGTGCCGTTGCCAGAACTAATCGAAGAGACCACGCTTCAGCAGTGCTGCTGTTGCAGATGACGCGTCATAATCGAGAATGAGATCACCGTGTACTCCCGTCGTCTCAAGGAGCCCGGCGGCCACAGCCACTGGTTTTTTTTTTTCATCAAAAAGTGCTATTGCCGTTGACTTTTGAGAACTCTCACATCGCTTTTCCAATCCAGCGGGACTCGAACTGTCCTTACACGCTCCTAAGTCATTTTTTTTTATAAAAGTGCTGCAGCTTCCCTTTAATGCGCCAGTTTCCGGAGAACAAAAGCGTGGTAGACAAGCCTCGAACATTCGCACTGCAACCCTAGCTTCCATTGGCAATTTTTTTTTCGTGCTTCTATACAAGTTGTCGAGAAGACTATCTATGCACACAACGTTAGACAGCTGTTGTATAATGATATGTATGACGACAGCGCGGCTCCTAATAACAAGCGGGCACGCCAGCGCGCTTGTAATCTGCTCCCTAATTATGTATACGCGCAGGAAAGTGAACAGATGACAACCATCCTCATCCGTGAGCAAGAGTTACCGAAAAAAAAAACAACCATAGACACGTTTGTGCTCGATAGAAGTTACAGCTCTAAACACTGGTCGGAAAGGAGCACAAGGCGAAACACTCGGAAAACATGCGAATCGCACCCTCTTTGCGTGCTGCTCACAAAAAGGTGCTCGTATTAACGTGCAAATACGCCCTAGTCATCGCACACGCATCACCATCGTCGTTTCTGACATGCGAAACGCATTGAGCCACTGCGGGCACGCCTGCATATACGAACATGCTCTATGTAGCCCGCAAATGGCGTTTTTTTTATCCTATAGCCGGGAAACTATGCACGTCACGTACGAAGACGGCGAAACGAAACGCGGAAATCGCCCGATAACGAGTGAAAACTCCTTGTGGCTGGCTGCCGGACGCCGAATGTCTCGCTAATGCGTTAGTTCTCTTTTTTAGTCTTTATTTGCAGATATCAATCTTAAACAAGGGGCAATTATGTAAGAAACCACACTGTTCGCAAGAGAAGCACATCAGTAAGAAAAGTCTATAAAAACAAAGAAAGACAGGATCGCTGCTTAGCATGCCTAAGCAGCTTACAGAAAAGAAACTGTTGACCCCGTTCCACGAGTTTCGCAGTATGTCTTCAAACACAGCTGTTGTATTTCGGGTCAAGTGGGACGTAGCCTTTTATTTTTGCATTTTCGGACACTCTGGAATGGGCAGCATGCAGCTAAATTACAACACGCGTACTTGCCACAGCGTCAGGAATTTAAAAATTTGAGCTTGGGTTGCTTCGGTTAAAAGTATCCGAGGGCACGTTTAGAATTCGCATTTATAGTCGTACCAAAATACTATACCGTATACACCACAGAAGCATATCAAAAGTTACAAAAGACCTAAAGTGCGTACGTATATATGGGCTGCGAAAGACAGATGCAGTTAGAATGTATCCTGTGCTGGGCAGTTCAATTTTTGTACTTATAGTACTAATAATTAACAGCGGAGCTATTTCAGGCGCTCTTAAAAACCTTGGTGTCCACAAAAACCCAAAGTCGTGGGTACGCTCCACAGGAACTGGGCATGCTTCACTGCCGATTACAGCTGGTGCGAGCGTTAAACGGAAAGTCTGCTCAGTGAAGAAAAAAAAAAGAGAAGAGAGTTAAATAGAGGGAGAGAAAGAAAAAAGAAAAAAATATCGACAAATAAAGGGAATGAAGACAGACAACAAAAAGAGAGAAAAACACACAGAGAAGGAGAAAGAAAGAAACACACAAAGAAGACATAAAAAAACAGAGCAAGACGGAAAAAGAAACAAACAAAGAGTAACGAGCATAGAGAGAAAAAGAAAAGGAAGAAAGATAAATAAAGGCAGTAAGAGCGAGAAAAACAGAAACATGTGGAAATCAACAGGCAAAAATAAACAGATATAAGAAACGGAGAAAGAGAAAGAAAGGAAAGAAAGCAAGAAAAATAAAGATAATATAAAGGAAGGTCAGACGGTTCCACTCTTCTTTCAGGGCCTAGCACTATTAGTTCAAAGTTGCCTTTTTTTATCATCATCCCACTGTGCCTGATGTTATCGCTCTTTTCTTCCCTGTTCCACGCGGAGAACCAGGCCCAGAGGCTCGACTCCGCCGGCCAATTTCTATGTTTTATTATTATTATTATTATTATTATTATTATTATTATTATTATTATTATTATTATTATTATTATTATTATTATTATTATTATTATTATTATTATTATCCTTGTCGTCGTCATTAGAGATCCTATCAAAAAGCTATTACAAATTCCTGTTATGATATATCCTATTATGCGTAAGGTTAGAAGATACCGTATGGTATTGTCACGCCGTCGCCAAGTGGCGAGACAATGCGGTATCTTTGGTTCTATACTCCAGCCAAGTGGCGAGAACTATATATTACCTATAGCTGAAGTGTCCTACATGACCCTTCTGACTCGGCTACAGCACGTCGGAGTTCATCCGATCAATTTCTCGACGTAGCACCATAGCACTCTTCCTGCGATCTTGCTTGGCCGCACATATCCAATGGCGACATTGCTCGCTTCAGACTGAACCGCGGCACGTGACGTTCCAAGCTGCGCCTGTTGCGTCGCGGACGTGACTATCACTATTACTGTCTCGATGTGCGGCTCCCTGGAGACGAAGGACGCTTGGCTTTCTGTTTTGACACTTAGATGATTTTCGTGCCGCGCAGCCCCTACCCCTTACGTCCCGCGCTTGTTTGTTTACGGTGCTCCTAACCTACAATAAGGAGCCATTCGAGGGTCTCATTCACCCGGGACTGCGCAGTCGATCGCGGCGGACACTCACTCGAGGAAGCGTGTGATCTCTTCTCGGCTGCAGTTGGACCACACCAAGGGCGACGGGTCCGAGCTGAGGTGGGGCGCCATCACGTGCTGCCGGAGACCCGCTGGCGCCTGGCAGCCGTTGTGAGGTCCGTCGTGGCTCATGCCGAAGCTGCGATACGCGGCACAACCGAAGCAACCAACTTGCCACACTGAAGAAAACATTGCGTATGGAGCGCCTAAGCAAAACACAGTAGTAGCTAGATCGATAACGATTGCGTCATCAATGCTGCAGAAACAGAATAAGCTTTGAAAACCTCTTTTTGGAGTACTTATCCCAAACGTTTAGAAATTTCTAGTCACTGTAGTTTTCGTGTGGCGTGAACGTGCAAGGGATGTAGAAAAATGAATTTGTAAACACAGCATTACTTCATAATCGAAATGCCAATACAACAAAACGCTTCATCGGCAAGTTAATCTTATCTTTTTTTTTCGCGTATCGTTTAAAAAAAATTAAGTAGAATTTCTTGTAATCAGGACGATACGATAATTACAGTGATTTGTACGGCCTTAGATATGCAGCTCAGACCTTGAATCGGCCACACCTTTCACGTTATCATATCGAATATGTTTCGATAAAGGCCGACCATACACGACCTCTTTCCAACGAACGAGGGAAATCCCGAAGTGGAAATAACTGATAACCATAGTAAGTATAATAAGAACCCACTCAAACAGCGGAACAAATTAATAGTACATGTCGCTGTGAAAGACGTGCCGTTGTTAAAACACAAGACAACCAAAGATTTAGCGTCACATTCGATCTTCGGCGGTATTAACTTCTGCAGCTTGCCACCTCGACGTTAGAGCGGAATGTTAAACAACGCAACGTGGAACATTAAAAAGGAACAATACAAAAAAAGATAAATTAGGAGGAACACAAGTATACTCTTCAAAATTTCAGTGATAAGGGTAAAAAAAAATAACCCTCGCTTAGAGCTGCACGGTCATCCCACAAGCTTATAACAAACGAAGAGCGAGACGCAGGAGCACATTCCCGTCGACTCACTTGTGGCCGATTTCGTGCGCAATGGTGTAGGCGAGCGTGAGCCCCGAGTCCTGGTTGACGTTGCAGCTGCGCTGCGGTTGGCACATGCCGGCCACCTCGGCCAGGCCTAACGTCGAGCACAGCTCCAGACCAGGCGCGCACATGTTGAACCTGTAAGAGAACGAACGCAGCTCGGCGAACTCTTTTTTTTTTTTTTTTGCTCGAGTCGATGCATATGTACCTACGCACTGGTCGAGCGCATACTGGGCGTCACTACAATAACTAATTAATTAATTCTTTAAAGGGAGATTATCGGGTACGATCACGAACTTGAGAGCATGGAAGCGATAGTTCTCACTTGGCTGTTTAATCATAAGGCACGCGGTTTGCGAGGATGAGGAAGGCTCTTCGCGAAATCTTAAAGAGTGCGCTCGAGTAAATTCCTTTTTACTCAGCGCATATCGAACGCATATCGATTCACTTAATTAGTTATCCAATTTATGATTTCAGATTTACTATTTAAACACGGACAAACTTGAGAAGACCGGAACAACAAGCTTAGTTCTTACTTTGTCATTCAATTAGGGCACATACGTCTTGCAAGGATAAGGAAAGCCCTTATGGGAGCACCGAAACACTCGCATCTAAATAATTGCACTCGTAAATTAGGAGAAAAAAAAAGAGTTCCTTGCGCAAATATGTCTGTATATGTAACATTTCTAGAACACTTTTTTTTTCGCATTATAAGTTCTGCTCTCTATATGCATTTTACATTACAAGTTAACTCACTAAAAATGTACGCTTAATCGGAATTATTTTCTACGTTCTCGAAGAACTTTTCAACCCAGTTTGGTCTTAATGTTACGCATACCCTTAGCGGCAGTTCACTCTTATTGCTATTAATGGAACCATTATTTGGAAGTCTCAACGCAGCCTGAAAGTGCTTGATAGGACGTGAACTTCGTCGATCCTGTACACGATGCACCCGCGAACATTAGGCTGCACACCTGCTATATGCATAGAGAAAACCAAGCTTTCCCGCGAAACTAGCGGCCCACACACGTTCCGTTCATCGGCGGGCGTAATTAGCAATTAGCGACGACAGGTTTCCCTGGGAGTCTGCGTTCCGCCTCTCCCCGTCGCTCACACGCCGTTCACGCCCACAAAGGTGATGGCATAAATTTCTGCTGCGCCGAACTGATGCACCACCACACTAAAACGCATATTCAGTTTTCTTTGTCTTTTTGTCTAGGTATAACAGTTTAGTGCAGCAAAAGTAATACGTCCTACCATTCAAATCGCCGCCGGAGCCTTACACACACACACACACACACACACACACACACACACACACACACACACACACACACACACACACACCACACACACACACACACACACACACACACACACATATATATATATATATATATATATATATATGATATATATATATATATATATATATATATATATATATATATATATATATATATATATATATATATATACTTGGAGTGTACGTACTTGTCCTATATACATTTCTTTTTTATTTCGTTCTTTCGCAGTGCGCAATGAATGCTTCCTCATAACTCATAACTTATCATAACGATAACGACGATGGTGCGCTCGTCACCAGGCAACAATAAGCGTTGGCATCGTGAAATGACAAAATACATATATCAATGATCACATTTCCACATCAGAAATGCCTAATCACCGACAAAGTCCCGATCGAGATAGCATGTGTTACTCGAAAGCGGAGCGTTCAAAGGCCGCATTTCTGCAGGCTATCCGACGGCGGGTGTTCCGCCTACGACAACGCCGCCATCGGAAACTGTAACTTATAACAAGCTTCGCTTGAAAAGTAAAACGCCCCTTTCTCCCCTCCATTTCCCAACTACGGAGTAAGACAAATCGGGAATGGCGAGAGGGACCTTGTGACGAGAATGGCCAAGTCGTGATGGTTCGGATGGCTCTCGTCCGACGGGTTGACGAAACGCTGCCAGCGGCAGAAGCTCTTCAGCGTCCCGTCCGCCGACTCGTCCACTCGCAATTGGTCCAGCTCCTCGGACGTCGGCAGCGGTTCTTCCTGCGATAAGACAAAAATGAACTGATAAAATGAACCACTTCACGCTATCCCCATGGCTACTGCCTTTTACGTATCATTTGAAACGAACTATAGACAAGATAGACCATTTTCAAAGCCTACGCGGCGCAGGCTTCCAAAGCCAGGCGGGCATTGCTATACTGTTTCTAAAGTTGAGCGGTCCATACGATCGAGTGTAGGCCTAGCAGACAGTTATCAATGAAATGAGCAGAGTGGTGGTGCCCTGTATAGATATACCAGAATACGCAGTAATATATATATATATATATATATATATATATATATATATATATATATATATATATATATATATATATATATATATATATATATATATATATATATATATATATAATTATCGATCTCTCTTTTTGGATTCTGGGCATCGTTGACATAACGAAGGTTTAACTCGGTGGTTCAGTTTCCCGGTCTCGTGACTCAAGCTTCTTTTTTTTTCTGAATTCCCTTCTGAATGCCTTCTCACACTTTTATTGACATCACTTACGTGACATTTATTTCTAGTGTGCCCCAGCATTAAACACTTTCGTGGTAAAATTAACGTTGTTCTCAGCAATAACGGGACATATCGTGCCATAAGCCGGCAACACCCATTTTACAAAGGTATAGCGGATACACACGGCACAACTGCACACTGCAGCTCACTAGTGTCACGCTTACCTGAGTAGCTTCTGGCTCTAGAAGAATCATGCGGACCAGGACCACGTTGATGGCGTTGCCTATGCTTGCGTCATGGAACAACGTGGACACCTGTTCGTAAAAATATCATAGAAAAGGACACTTAAAGTGAACAGGAACTACTACCCATTCGATGCTTCAGCCAGAATGAGAAATAAATATATCACAATATGCTTATTTCAGCGTTCCTGCATGCTGTAGCGGCCTTGTTAGCAGGACACTGTTCCGAGAGAAGCGACCTCTGAATAACGATTCAGATGAAAGTTTGTCTCATTGAAATCAGAAAAGCAAAAGTCAATTGTACTTTAGCATCAACGATTCTTAGAGAAGGTGAACAGAAATAGAATGTACATATTCTGTTTGGAACTATTAGAAGACAATTTGCAGAATGTTGGCTAACCTCCCTGTATTTCCTCCTCCTCCTCCTTGCAGAACGTCTTACATGGGACACAGTTTTTGTAATTCCAGCCGTAAAACGCACTCCACTGGCAGCGTTACATCTTGCAATCTACCCTTTTCATGATTGTAAAGAAAGCTCTCCTGCGATGCAGTAAGCTCAGCCAATGGCGGTGACTTCAGCAAACACCATCTTCAAGCATGGTTTGTTTACGCTATGACGCGAAAAATGTAGACACATCTCACTTGACATAAACATTCCTAGCATCCTAACAGAAAAGCACCAACACGTGCAACTCTCCACTTGAACGACAGCTGCTACCATTAGTTAGGCGAATATGCAGCGCAGGGAAATACTCTTGCGGATTATGAAAAGGGTCCACGCATCAAATAACGCAAATGTCTCTGTAAAAAAAACAAAAAACAATGCCCCTTTCTCTGCACCGAATAGTGATGTTGAACGAAAGTCGCTTTCTGTTTTCTGAGCCTAAGTTCATGCGCTGAAGCTAACAATCCTGGCCACAAGTGATGCGGGCAAGTGCTTTCAATACATACCCCCGTATTCACAAACGCTCCTCGACTCGACTTCCAGCCTTCACTTGACAGAATTGAGCACTGCGCCACCGCTCGGCTGAAAATGACGCCGCGCTACTCGAGAATCGCAGCAGATTATCGCTGATATGCAGTGACTTGCCGTGCCTACAGGCAGCGCTCCCATCGGCTTTCTCAAGTGAAGGTGAAACGTTGAGTGAAGGGACGTTCTAGAATACGGGGGATAGTGTCTTGAGCAAATGGCGCAGTTTCCTGCCAATAGATGGCTGCAGCATAAAAACATTTTGGCAGAGCGAGTGGTCTTGGGTCCAACAGGGCAGCGATGATAAATATGACGGCGCAGAAGTTAGTGCAGAAAACAATGCCAAGGTTGACTAAAAACAAAAAAAAGTATTATTCACACCTGATGAAACACAACCCGCTGTTCGCGAATCACATTTGTAGCGGGCGCGCTCCATTCGGCCCACAATTTTCTGTTTAGCAGTTCACGCAGTGAGAAACATGCGCGCGCCTTTGCAATTATTGTATTTGTGCGCACTTGTATTTGTAAGAAGAATTTATTTGACGGTGCAAAGGGACAATCATTGCCGGTGAGCGACTGTTGTACGGTCAGCTCTGCATGCTGAACTCAAAACATACGCTGGTCAGAATTAAACAAAAGAGAACTAAATGTGAAATTTGTCCTTGAGAAAGAAGATGAGAGAAACTATAAGAAAGGTCAATAAAATTAAACATGCTAATCTACACTGCAGTAGAGAAACGGGGAAAGTAGAAAATAATAGAGGAAAGGGAGAGAGAGAGAGAAACACCTCAAGCACAGACACGCTATGGCGATGTGTCACCAATGCCAATGATTCTCACTGTGCAAAACTCCAAGTCTGTCAGAACAAACACTAATTCAGGCTGCAGTTGCTTGTGAAGCCATGTGGTTCCTTAAAAAATATACCCGCCGCAGTAGCACCCTCAGCTTCACTCAATTATATACGGTGTCGACGTTTCAAAATGGTTTTCTCTGATATCGGTCTTTCGTCAAAGCGAGCTAGTTTAACTTCATGCGAGCTAATTTATTGATTGATATATGGGGTTTAACGTCCCAAAACCACCGTTTGATTATGAGAGACGCCGTAGCGGAGGGCTCAGGAAATTTCGACCACCTGGGGTTCTTTAACGTGCACCCAAATCTGAGCACACGGGCCTACAACATTTCCGCCTCCATCGGAAATGCAGCCGCCGCAGCCGGGATTCGAAGCCGCGACCTGCGGGTCAGCAGCCGATTCATGCGAGCTAGCAGGGACAGTAACTCAGAATGCGCTGTATGGTCCCCCCGCAAAGACAGTCGTAAAACATGGCATGGTCGACCATTTCGACACCAAATGACTTCGCAAAAAATTGACAAAGCGGGACGGCCTCACAACGACTGTTGGCAAGCGTAAGCGGAGCAAAAAAAAAAAAAGTCGAGGCTGATGTTTTCGATTCTTTTGAGAATATTGGGTGTTCTACAATAAATAAAGCTATAGCGAAAGATTGGCCGATATTAGACGGTCCGTAACTGTTCCATCATAGATATTTCCTTGAAGTGTCGTTAGACATTACAAATTTTCTCGTGCATGCGCACTAATACAATTGCATCCCCTACACCACACCACTGGTAGTCCCACCACCATCACTTCAACCCAAATATTTTCGCTAATATTGATAATATTCTTTCTTAACCCACAAACCTACGGCCTGTGTAGCTCGGCTGCCAATTCGAAAGACGCGGGTCCGACGCTGGCCGCGGTGGTCACATTTCGAAAAAATCGAAATTCCAGAGGCCCGTCTATAGTACTGTGTAAATCAAGTGCGTGTTAAACAACCTCCGGCGATCGAAACTATCCAGAGCCCTCCATTACAGCGTCGCCCACAGCCCTAGTCGCTCAAGCCCCGTAAGACAATCAACCAACCAAACCGAAGCAACTGCTTATGAAATCACTGTCTACACTCTAAAAAATACCACGCTTAATGTCACGCTAAACTGTAAACTTAAGCGTGATGCACGTGTAAATGAGCCGTGGATGACTTTTCAAGCCACATGTGACCAAAATTAAGCGCACGGTTCCGTCAGGTCAGCGTGAGGGCAAGGCTGCGTGCCGTGGTTCTGTCATGTGCAAGCGTGGGCGAGCCGTGTACGCGTGTGCAACGGATATCACACGCTTACAATCCCGCGGCGAACACGCGCAAACATTTGCCGTCACGCATGCGCATTCGTTTCGCCTGCTTCCCGGGCCCGTTGCGGCGAAGACGGAACTTTACTTCGGAAGGCTCTCGAAGGGCGCGCTTCTGAAAGACTGCGTTTGTAGCTAATTCTTTGGGTTTTGATTGATATGTGGGGTTTAACGTCCCAAAACCACTATATGATTATGAGAGACACCGTAGTGGAGGGCTCCGGATATTTCGACCACCTGGGGTTCTTTAACGTGCACCCAAATCTGAGCACACGGGCCTACAACATTTCCGCCTCCATCGGAAATGCAGCCGCCGCAGCCGGGATTCGAACCCGCGCCCTGCGGGTCAGCAGCCGAGTACCTTAGCCACTAGACCACCGCGGCGGGGCGTTTTTTGGGTTTTAACGCCGTCAAGGCACTGCAAGGCAGATATTTCTGCCACGTTTACTTCCGTAGACATTCTTGGCGTGCGACGCGGGCATTGCAAGCACACGGATTGTGACTGTTCTGAGTTCATGCGAGATAACCCGCCACGGTTCTGGAGCAGCCATTCCCCACGGATGGTGTGTATACTGCGGCCACTCACCTGAGATTCACGGACGGTTGGAGTGTATAGGTAAGAACGTTAGTTATCTTGCTGTCGTGCTCAATGACAGCAAACATTAAGTATTTGCAACGGTCTCTTGTGTCAGCTTATCACATGGGTTGTGCGAAATGTGCATTTTTTTTTGTTTAATGCCTATCTGCCAAAATGTGCCTATTCTGTTTAGCGGGGGGGGGGGGGGGGGAGAACTTACTATGGGAACTTACTGCGTTCGAAACGAAAATTATAATCATCATCATGCTTTTGTAAACAGTTTCAAGGCGGAACTAGTGAATTCCTCAGAGGTTTCTTTGTTGTGGTGAAGTATCGAACGGAAAAGTAAGAAAACAGCTCGTCAAGGCACTTTATTTCCGAAAACGTGTGCTTTTTTTTGTGTCAGTATTGTGTTGCGCACATGTCCCTTGCCTCCTCGCTCATCGATATCTGCGATTTTAATAACAAGTTCTGTTTTGGAAGGCAGCACTTGAGGTATATTTTTCTTTTGTAGTTAGTGCCTTGCCGCGACGTTATTGGGTTTCACTATGGAATAGCATGCAACAGGCTCAACGTTCCGTCCTGTACGGGAACCTCTCGCGCCATTTCTCTGCAGGACATTCAGCCCTTGTCAAGTTCACAAGGTGGAGAGGAAAGAACTGGGCAAAGCTTGCTTCGAATAAGTGGCCCACGCCGGCATCGACCGGTGCTTCAAGCTGACCGCAAGAGAGAGACGGGAGAGGGAGTGGCGTCACTCCACCATGCACCCCGTCTCTTTCCTTTTGGCGAGGATAATCGACGCCGTTTGTAAGCGTGCACGGCCGTCACGCCATGATAAGCGCGGGAAAAGTGGCTCATATGTCACGCCTGCTATGGGTGAAGGGTACGGCGCTGATCACTCTAGTAGGCGTTATCGGTAAGCGTGGAGAAATAACACGCATACTTAAGGCGTGTAAAAAAACTTGATACGCACGCTTATAGGTAAGCATGGGATTTTTTAGAGTGTACACAGCGTACTTCGCATTAAAAGCAGAAATCTCTACACTGGGGCTTTTAATCAAAGGCGGCCGCATCGGTGGTTGCCGCATCAAAGGCCCTGTGAGCTTGGAAAAATTCCGTTTGAAGCGATCCAGCTCTTTCGCACACAAACACTCCAGCGAGACGCTCGGTTACGTTGCCGCGAGACTGTACGCATTCAAGAGCAACACTCCAACTGAAGGACGCCAATATCTTGAATCTCTTGAGATCCTGTTGCAGTTTGAGGATTTCGCAATCCTTTGAAGCGAGGAAACGCTGCCGTTCTTGTCAAACATTTCTTTGGGCAAGTGCCGACAAACGAGGCG